CAAGGACCTGGTGGCGGCTGAGGGTGGCCTCGCAGGCCCTCCACTGGACCTGGGCCCCAGAAGCCACTCCTGCCCGGCCAGGCACCCCATGGCCTGTAACACCATACATTATCAGAAGGAAGATGGTCTTTTCAGTGGGTCTAGAAATAAAACAGTCTATCTTGTGAGGGCAAGGAAATCTGCTGCACACATAAAATGGGTGGACTTGGAAGCCATACAGGAAATATTGCCCTATTAGGAAAACTACCTCAAAGATAGTCCTTGGCAGCAACTGCAACACACAGATTTTCATGAGCCCATCCTCCTGAATCCGTTGTTGGCCATCACACTTGGGTTTTGGCTGGCTCTGCTCTTTACTTTCTTTTTCACTTTCTATTTCCTCCTTTACTCCCTCTAGGCCTAATGTTGCTTCCTCCTCCTTTTGTGAAATAGCATTACCCATACTAAGGATTTCACTTACCTTGAGAGACTGCTTAGCCTCGGCCAGTATATTTTCCTTTTGTGCACCACGTTGGGCACCAGATGTCGGGTCTTCATCCATCCCATGAAAGACAGATGGGGCCCAAGGAAAGGTAAGTGCACTGCTGGCCCATTCCCCAGCCTCCCTTAGCCCTGGAGACCATCAGGTGCAGCGGGGAGTCAAGTCAAGTAGGAACTCATTTATTACCTCACAGCAAGCTCTGTTTAAAGCAAAAGACTGTGTGGGAGGGAAGGAAATGGAACCAATGAATCACTGTAAAGGTCACGCCCTATCATGCACCTAAGCTTCCCCCAGCTGTTTATGGACTGAATGTAAACAAATCGGGCTCTGCCCACTCAACTTCTTCTCAGGGCCATCTTTGCTGCCTGTGTGTCCCACACTATTGAAACAGTTTGTTTTTTCCTTTCCCTTCCACAAATTATATCAACTTCAAATAAAGTGAATGCAGGGCTTATACCCTGGGAGAGGTACATACAAAGCAACAAAGAAATCATCTTATAAATATGTTGGAAACAATCACAAGAAAGAAAAATAACATTTAAATCCTTATCTTGGGGTTCATTTCACCTAACATTGTTGCAATTCTTAAGTCACTGTTTACTTTATTTTATTTATTTTTTTGCAGGTCCTAGGGCTTGAACTATGTCTGGACTCGGGCATTGTCCCTGAGCTTCCTTTGCTCAAGGTGAGCACTTTACCACTTAATGTACAGAACTACTTCTCGAGTCACTATATCATAAATTTTCTTCTTTATGTTATACAGCTGTTTATTTTATTCTCTTTGACCTCCTCCATTTATTCATGACTGATTTAATTTCATTGACAATAATAATAATCATTTTTATTATCCTTGAATACTTGTACAAAGGAGTTTTCATTAACCATCCCTTTATTGTGTGATGCATTTGATCAGTTACCCCTTTCCTTATTCTCCCTCTCTCCTGTCTGTAAAATTCCTATGATTCTCCTCCAGTTTCCTGGTTCCACTCTCAGTGAGTGACAGGCCAGCATTCACTCACCATTCCTCTCTCCACATGACTGCTCCTCCCATTAGACTGTATCTCGGTTCAGACAAGACATGTTTCAGTTTCATAGTATTCACTTTGTTGTGAGTTAAATGTTAAACGTTCAAAGGAGTTACACCATAGAAACCATGCTTTATTCAGTTTGATTGTGTGCGTATATAAATATATATATATATATGTTCCTATATATGTGCTTCAATATATGTTTATATTTAAGTGTAACTTGCATATATGAGAGATTGCATGCACTTGGTCTCTCTGAGGCTGAGTTAACTCACTCAATATGAATTATTTTCCAGGTCCATCCATTTTCTTTGTAAATGATGTATTATTATTCTTCCTGTTAGATTAATTTGAAAGTTTAAAAATTAGAGTTACATTTTACAATTGCTAACTGCTGATTTTGCTTTTTTAAACTTGCTTGCGCTAACACCAACACCTTCCTTGGAAATAAGGAATTGGATAAAGTCTCAGAGCCCAGATGTCGGCCCCAGGACAAGGTCAGTGGTTGTAGATAAAGAACAGATGTCGTGTTCCTCAGTTCCCATTTAGAAATTCCCCAGACAGGACCTTGAGATAACGACCACCTGGCAGGACCAGCAAACTAGGCCAAATGTCAACCAATCACAAGTCTGTAACTATGTGAACTCCCCTAACCCTTATTGTCCAAAGTAACCACTCCCCCCTTGAGTCCCCCCCCCCCCACCAGTTATTTTACAAAGAGTGTTACAAAATTTCCCCTGTGGCAAAGTGATTGTTGGTGTATATGGTGACCTTATGTGTTAATCTTGTGGTTTTTGCCTTTAAAAAGGCTTGTAACTGCTGCTCTCTCCCTTCCCGAGGCAGAGTCCATTTGCACAAATGCCAAATAAACTCCTCTTGCTTGTTGCATCTCCCGGCCTGGAGTCTGAGTTTCTGGGGTGCCCTCCCATTGACGAAAGTATCCTAGGGGACTAGGGTCTTTCAAATTATATGCATATGTGTATATGTCTGTGCACATGCACATGTGTGTATCATATTAACTCGGCAAGGGTTCTTATGTATGCACTGTCTATTGTCTGCTGATTCTCTTGCTGGTTTTTCCTCTGAGTTAGAGGAATCCATTCATGGACTGTGTTTAGGCTTCAGAGCTTACTCGGTGTGCCTTGGGTCTTTTTTTCTATTGTCTATGGATCTATTTTGCCTGCAGTATGGCATCACTCATGACTATTGATGAAATGAAAACTACTTTTCCATAGCATTCACTTTCCTAGCAGTTTTGTCAAGAATTAGGTGTGAGACTATAGAGTAAGTACAGAGTGTATTTATAAGGAAAATAATGAGCAATGTCACACCATTATCGTCTTATCTCTTTTTTCTTATTTTTCTTTTCTTTTGTGCTGGAGTTAAACTGAAGAACTGAGAATTATATTCACCATTTTGCAGTCACTAACTGCTGACTTCGCTTCTGTAACTTGCTTTTGCTAACGTTAAAGTATAAAGATAGGTCTGTGTCAACAAACTCTAAAGAATGTAACTGCTGTGATAGATAACTAACTGCTGACCTCAAGCCCCAGACATTCCCAGAGTCTGGAACAATGACTAACACGTATTCCAGATCCTCCTCCGGGAACTGGACCCCGAGATAATGACCACCTATGGGAATTCCCCCTAACCCTTATCATCCAAAGCAACCATCCCCCTTGAGTCATCCAGCGCCAATCATTTTACAAAGAGTGTTACAAAATTTCCCGCGTGGCATAGTGATTTGCTGTGAGTGTCTACTGGGGCCCTGCCCCTACCTTAAAATGTATAAAAGGTGCTGTAACCCTTTGTTCAGGGCCTCTTGCTAATACCCCTACAACAGTGTGCATGAGGTCCGTGCTCGCGAGTTCGTTAATAAACGACTCTTGGCCGCTTGCATTGTCCAAGGTCTCTGGTGGTCTACGGGGGGCTCCAAGACTCTGGGTACTACAAAACCATATACTCTTAATCCAATTAATTCCCCAAAAGCCAGAACCAGAGCTGTGGCTCAAGTGGTAGAGCACTAGCCTTGAGCAAAAAGCTTAGGGACAGCACCCTACACTGAGTTCAAGCCCTGGATTAGTACAAAAACAATCCCACAGATAAAAACCTATAATGTCTAATACACAGTAGTGGAACTTGGTTATGATAATATAGTGTCTATTTCCTAAAAGTGAATGATATACCTCAAGGAAATTATAAATATGTAAGGATATGAATACATTTAACCTGATGTGAACTTCATAGTGTTCATATGCTTCAAAACATCTTGAAAAATACCATAAGTGTAAATATCTTTTTAATATATTGGTTGAAATTAAGTTACCTATTAAGATTATATCTACCTGGGTGCTGGAGGCTGTAATTATAGCTACTTAGGAGGCTGAGATCTGAGGCTTACAGTTTGAAGCCAGCTCAGGCAGGAAAGTCTGTGAGAATCTTATCTGAAGCCAGCTCAGGCAGAAAAGTCTGTGAGAATCTCATTTTCAGTAAACTACTAATCAAAGCCAAAAGTGGTGCTGTCACTCACATGATAATGTGCTCATCTTGAGCCAGAGAAGCTCAAAGACAGGGCCCAGGCCCAGAGTTGAAGCCCCAGGACCAGCAAAAAAAAATCTTATCTCATATTTTTATAATATTGAAGATTTTTCTGGTTTAGAGTACAGTGGTCCAACAGCAAAGTACAAAGCTCATGCACTAGGAGCACTAGGAGCAATAAAGAATTCTGTGAAGAATTATTTATAAAACTGTATCTACAAACAATATCTACAATGTAGGGATCAGTGTGTGTGTACTCATGTATGTAAAGATGCACATATCCACATAGACAGTAGTGTTGGCTGCAAATTGCCTGACAAATTTTTTTTCCCCTTGGCATAGAGGAGGAAGTAAAATGAGAAGTTACTTTGTATTTAATATTTTAAGATGAAAGGCAAGGAAAATATTTGCCATCATGTTTTAGATGTACACTGTTTATATTCTACAGTTTGATCGGATAATGAGTTCAGGTTGCTGCTGTCATCATTTATATTGAATATAAAACAATATGTGGAATGTAGAAAAATAATAGAAAAGGAGATGTTTTCTGTGATTTTTGTCTTGTTAGAAAGAACAGAGGCTTGGAAGGTAGCTCAGTGGTAGAGCACTTGCCTTGCATGCATGAGGCCCTAGGTTCAATTCCTCAGCACCACATAAGCAAAAATAAATAAGCCAGAAGTGGCGCTGTGGCTCAAGTGGTAGAGCACTAGCCTTGAGCTGAAGAGCTGAGGGACAGCGCCCAGGCCCAGAGTTAGGCCCCACAACTGGACCCTCCCCCCAAAAGAAAGAAAGAAAGAAAGAAGACTCAAAATATATAAAGAAAAACATTCAGAAATATGGACTCATACATTACACATAGCCTTAGATTGGCTAAATAATATTTCAAGTTTCCTTGCTTGTTCTCAGTAACATCAAAACTAGGCCATGAATTCTAACCTTAATCTATTTTCCTTCCTATGACTCACTCCCATTCTATTTCCTTGCAAGCTGGATCTACTTCTAAGAATTTTCCCTCTAGTTCAAATTAAAACATCTAGAAACACTGAGTGACACTCAGCTGATTCTGTTTTTTTGCCATCCTCCCCTTACATTCACTAGCTTTTCATTGAGTAGAACAGCATCTTCTCTGCACTAATGTTTTCTTTCATCTTCATTGACACAGGAAAGGAAAGACTGAGAACTGTCAGAACAATCAAGATTGATTATTATCAAGAGCATAACAGAGAAGAAATGGCTCCAAAATATCTGTGAATCATTTTGTTGTTTTTCAGTAATAACATACTGACCACACAGCTGTAGCTGTGCACTGGAAATTGGCATGTTCAAAACAACTGTAATAAGACATGAGGAATAGCAGGTGTGTTGGTGCAGTGATCCCTGCTAACTCTACAGAGTGGTGAATGGATTTCCTGGATCTTGAGCCCTTGAGATGATATGAGCACTGAGGGGCAGGAAGGCATTCTGCACAGGTAAAGAAGGCAGTCAGGGTCTCAGAAGAGGTGCTGGCACAGTAGCAGGCAGACAGTGAGCCTCCTCAGACAGGAATGAAGCAGAGCTGGTAAGAGGGTGGCAAGGCAGCAAATCCATTGGCCACTGGGATGGTGTGGATGTCCTTTGGGTCAACTAGAGGTTTTAGTTTAAAGTTCTGTAAAATGGTAGTCAGGAATAAAAACAGCTCCATACGGGCAAGACCTTCTCCTACACAAATCCGTTTTCCTAGAGAACCAAAAAACACCAGAGTATAGTTATTCCTGGTATGTAACTGTTACAGTATTAAGCCCAGTGTTTCAATCTGTCCCAGAGAATACGGTTGTTGGATGGAATTTGGGATGGATGTTACACAGGTAAATGGTAGACTATTACCTGTTGAGAAAGGCATGAAGTAGTCACTTTTTGTGAAGTTGCCACTCTTATCTAGAAAGTGGCCAGGGTCAAATATTTCTGGGTTGGGAAATTCCTTGTTATCATGTAGCACAGATGTCAGAGATGTCAATATGGTTGTGCCCTGGAAACAACACACACAGAAAACCAGGTTAATAAAGAAATCATGAAGCTGAGTGTTAGTCCTAGCTAAAACAAACAAACAAACAAAAAACCACAGAGCAATGACATTTCCTATGAGGCAGACGATGCAATCAGTGGGGCTGTTTCTGAAAATAGCAGCAAAGATTAGGATAATGTGCCCTCAAAAAGCATTTGAAGTTCTAATCACTCAGGGATAGCAAAAACATTTGACCTGCTCACGTTTTCTTCAAGAGTGGGCCCTTGTGCCTGTCCCACTTCCCACTCCAGTTTGTCACTGTGTATACCATGTACCTCTCTGGGTTGTGGATCAATGCTAGATTTTGTTTAAAGGGTGAATTTGCAGAGTATATGTGTATAGGACTTAAAAAATAAACATCAAGCCGGGTGCTGGTGGCCCACACCTGTAATCCTAGCTACTCAGGAGGCTGAGATCTGAAGATCACGGTTCAAAGCCAGCCTGGGCAAGAAACTCCGTGAGACTCTTATCTCCAATAAAACACTCAGAAAACTGGAAGTTGAGCTGTGGCTCAAATGGTAGAGTGCTCACCTTGAGCTGAAGAATTGAGGGACAGCACCCAGGCCCAGAGTTCAAGTCCCATCACTGACAAAATCAATAAATCAATAAAAACATCAAAATGGTGAACAAAGAAAACAATTCACTCACTAGACTCTATTCTGAAAATGAACAATACAACTTGTGGCTGGGCATGGGAGGGAAAAAATGGAGGGGGAGTAACATTGTCCAAAAGGAAACATATTCTTTACCTTTATAACCATAAAAAAATTAAAAGAATCAGGTGTGTTCTTCTAAAAGAAAATCAAGCCCAAAAAGCAGGCCTTTTGTTAAAATTGGTTTGTTATAATAAACTGTTACAATTCAGATTGTTTCAATACAGAGAATCCTGTGAGAAACATTAAGCCTTGGAAAAAACAAAAGAGGATCAAATTAGAAATTTCATCTGTTTGTTTTGTTTTGTTTTGTTTTTTAGCATCAGGGCAGGATCAGTGGGTCAGGCAAAGATCATCAATGGAAGCAAAGAAGAGAGTGTCATACTATGCTATCTTCATTATGAATTATATCTGGAATTTAATTTACAGAAAACAATGACAAAGAATCACCTTAGGAACTTAGGAAATGCTGTCTTTTGGTTCTTTTGGAAGATTGACATACTGAAAGAAGCACTCAAAGGCAAGGGAATGATTCCTGATTTAGGAGAATGACAAGCAGAGATATCAGTGGGGTGCTATAAACCTAGCTACTCAGGAAGCTGAAATCGGAGGATCTCAGTTTGAAGCCAGACCTGGCAGACCTATATTTTATCTCCAATAAACACCAAAAAAGCCACAAGTGGAGCTGTAGCTTAAGTGGTAAAGTCCAAATGAATTAGGGACATAGTGTTAAGTTGAAGGAAATAAATTCTTTTCAAAATTATGTACAGATTTTTTGTGCGTGTGTGTGCCAGGCTTGAACTTATAGCCTAGGGGCTGTTTTGGAGCTGCTTTTACTTATTGCTACAGTTCTACCACTTGAGCTATGCTCTACTTCAGCTTTTTTATGTTATGTCACGGACTTTCCTACTGAGGCTGGCTTTGAACCACAATCCTCAGCTTTACTCTGTGAGCCACCAGCACCTGACAAAATTATGAATAGTTTAAATAATATCCTGACAAAACTCTCAGCCGAATCTTTTGGGAAATGAACAAACTGAACTCTGAACATTCACTCTGAACTCTCAACACCTGTGACTAGCCAGAAACAATTCTAAATAGGCAGAACAAGTTTGGAAGAGTCTCACTTAAGTTATCAAGACCCATGGTTAAGATTAATAGTCCCAAACTGGACACTGCACAAAATCGATCATGCTGCCACATGAAATATGTTCCAGCTTCTCTCTTCTGTGTTGGCAGGTATCTGAAATGGTACTGCAAATCTGGAAACACCAGGGGCGCTAAGGGGCAGCAGAGAAAAAGCTCACCTTGGGAATGAGGTAGTTTCTGAACTTTGTGTCACAGGTCACTGCATGAGGCAGGTTGGTGGGGAGCAGATCAATGTATCTCTGAATCTCATGCAGCACAGCCTCTGTGTAGGGCATGCAGCCCCTGTCCTGCATGCAGGGGCTCCGGTGTCTGCCAATCACATGATCAATCTCTTCCTGCACTTTAGCTGGCGAGACACAAATAATGAACAGTGACGCTGTGACAGGACACACTCTTGACTTTTCCTGCACCATCAGACCTTGACATTTACATATCTGTCTATGAAATATTTCATGATTTCGTCCTCAAGTCAGGTGTTATCAATTCTGTGGCATCTAGGTTAGGTGCCCTTTACTCCTTTAATGTTGGTGGGAACCTGGAGAAAAGTTTTCAGTAATATCATAAAAATATAGAGAGATTCCTGCTTGTTTGTTTTTAAACTATCTAGAAATATAGCTGGTTGTTACATTCAGGAGCTGAGTGAGAACAAAAAGGGATGGTTTGTCAAAATTGAAGGTAAATCTTTATCATTCCTGTTTGTACAACTTTCCCTGTTATTATGAAACCCAGTGTACAGGGCTTTTCAGGTTCAGTTTCTCACCAAAGCTACCCTCTCATTGTGGAGGAAAATCGGTTTCCTGATGAATGGAGACATGGAGGAAGGCTGGGAAGGGAAGCTTCCTTTTCAGCCTTGTTCTCACTCTATCTCCTCTAACGTCTGTTACTTCCAAATAGCAATTTTACACAGCTTGGAGGAACATAGATCACAGATTTCTCTCTCCCTCCCCACTTTCTCTTTCTCTCTCCACTAGGATTATAATAAAATAGATGTCCAATCCACAATAGACTCATTATTCAAATGAATTTTATTTTTTTTTGTGGTACTGGGTTTGGAACTCAGAGCCTTGCTGTAGATTGATAGTTGCCTTTCCACTCCAGCCCTGGCTCCCATTCTTATTTGCTTTAGTTATTTTACAGGTAGCATCTTACATTTTTGTCTGGGGTTGGCCAAACACTGCTATTTTCTTAACTATGGCCACCTACTTAGCTATAATTATAGATTTGTAACACAACACATGGCCTGTCCATCAGATGGCATCTTAGAAATTTTCAGACTGGACGTGTCTTGAATTATGAGCCTCCTGATCTCTACTTCCTTAGTAACCAGGATTACAGGTATGAACCAGTAAACACATCCTCATCTTGGCTTTTTGGTATTAAGACCTTTATGTGATTCTATGCCAATTAGTCACAACTCCTGCCACAAATCACCTTCCCAGAAAAAGAGATACAGCAACAGAGTGTATTGCCCTGCCTTTCCTACTGCTGCATTATCCTTCCTTCTCTCGGTCATCTTCCCCAGGCTTTAGTTGGTTGCACAGATGGTTAAACAGTAGGTGGCTCTAACAAGTGAAATGAAAGACACTGGCAGTGTCTTAGCAGCATTCCCCCCATTCCCACCCCCAGAACTCACTTAACTCTCATGTGTGGTCCTACCTGTGATGTGTGGGTGCTTCATCAGGAGCAACAGAGAATACCTCAGGGTTGTGCTTGTTGTCTCTGTCCCAGCACCAAACAGATTGTTTATAGTACATGCTAAGTTTTCATAATTAAACTCTGATTGATGATTGTCTTTTTCCTAGAAATAATTTGATGCATTGATTTACGTGTATATCTAATGACACTGAATCTAAAATACCTTACAGTGGTACAAAACACAGAAACTGGAGGAATAACAATACTAGGAGAACCTAGTGCTGGTTAGCCCAAACTCCACTTCTTATATTCTTATTTTGTCAAGTGTTTCCATTTCACTTCTTTGTTAAAAATTTACTGGCCTCAGTCAGGCACTCGTGGCTCAAGCTTATAATCCTAACTACTCAGGAGGCTGAGATCTGAAAATCATGGTTCCAAGACAGCCTGGGCAGGAAAGTCCATGAGATTCTTATCTCCAGTCAATCACAGAAAAAGCCAGAAGTGGCACTGTGACTCAAGTGGTAAAGTGCAAGCCTTGAGCTAAAAGGAACTCAGGGACAGTGGTGCCCAAGGCCAGAATTCAAGTCCCAAGAGTAGAAAAAAATGTCTGGCCTCCATATATACTATAGACTCATAGCATAGTTGAAATGATAAAGTCTTCTTAGGGGGCTGGGAAGATGGCTTAATGGTAGAGCACTTGCCTTGCATGCATGAGGCCCTGGGTTCAATTCCTCAGCATCCCATAAGCAAAAAGAAAAAAGCAGGAAGTGGCGCTGTGGCTCAAGTGGTAGAGCGCTAGCCTTGAGCTGAAGAGCTGAGGGACAGCGCCCAGGCCCAGAGTTCAGGCCCCAGGACCAGACCCAAAAGAAAAAAAGTCTTCTTAGGCAAAAAAGTCTAGAAAGATGATTCCTAGGAAATAAGGATAGGCTCATTAAGATCAAATCAGGTCATCATTGTAGTATAGATGGAAGGCAACCAGTCACTTTCACTAAGGAACAAATGAAAGAAGGAATTGGAATGTACAAACCCAAGAGACCATAAATCATAAAGAAAGGCAGTTGACACATTTTTTGCCCAAATAGGATGAGATGGAGTTACAGCAGTTGCCAAGGCTTAGGTATCCAACTGGCTTGCTGTGAAGTAGAATTGCCAACTGCTTGCTTCCTATGTTCATCTAGGGCATGACTAACATGAAAAATGTTTTCCAGGCTGTTTAGTGTAGACTCATACACATAAAAGATGTATAAAGTGTTAGCAAGAATTGCTGGCCTGCGGCTGGGAAGGTGGCTCAGTGGTAGAGTGCTTGCCTTGCATGCATGAGGCCCTGGGTTCGATTCCTCAGCACTACATAAGCAGAAAAAGCCAAAGTGGTGCTGTGGCTCAAGTGGTAGGGCGCTAGCCTTGAGCTGAAGAGCTGAGGGACGGTGCCAGGTCCAGAATTCAGGCCCCATGACTGACAAAAATAATTGCTGCCCTGATCATCAAAGCATCTCTTGTAAATACAGAACTATTTAAGCAACCACAAAATGCCCAGCAATCAAATAACTGAGCGAATGTAAACATTTTACCTGCTTCATTTTTATCAGGAAGCAATCAATAAAGTCCTGAGGGTTGTTAACATCCAGTGTTTCTTCATGTTCTCTCACTTTGTCCATGAAATAATTCTTCAAATAAGCAAAATTTTTAAGTAAGGTATCATGACTCCCTGGAAGATAATCCATGAGAACAGGGAATTTATTGCAGACCTACAATGAAAACCAGTAATTGACTGATTAAGAAAGAGAAAAGTCTGGTTATAAATTTTACCTAGAAATATGAACAAAACATGGTGTGTATCAAGAGGAAAAACTTTCATTGTATATGTAAACTAGGAAAAGATGTCTTGAAACCCAATTGTGCGCCAGAGTATTTAAGTGATTTCTCCATGATTTCTCTTTATGCAGAATTTAAGGCACGCTAACTCAGTTCAGCAACATCTTGTGAGGCCTTTTATGGTTCACACACCATAAAAGGAAACATTTTCTAACCTGGTTCTCTAGTCACCTAGGATAGCAGTCAGCCATCATCTACCCAGATCCTACCAAGTGATTCCTGATCAGGCTTCCTTGAGGAGAATATTCTCTTCAAACTTTAGAATACAAGTCCCTAATACTACGATGAAGAGGAGCAGTTGATTGATGGAGAAGCCCGTGGGGTTTGGATTCTTTTAGAAAGGACCTGGATGTTTATTAAGTGACTGGTCATATTTCTGAAAATGAACAAAATACTTTATAGAGATACTCATTTGGGACTTAGTAAAACAAAGAGCAGTGAGCTAACAGGCTGAGAAGCCAACTCTGTATTTGCACCTTTCGCTTAGACATCCTCCAAGATGTTGTCTTTAGGACATACTAGATAGGACTAAGCTTTTTGAACATTTGCTTCCACACCAAATAGAGTTGGAATTATCAGAAAAGAAGAGGACCTGGGTCTTCTCAGGGAGAAATGATCTTGGTCTCACCTGTATCCATGGTGAACTCAGAACCTTGATGTTTTCATTCAATTTTTCTATCAAGTTAAGGAATTCCGGATCCTTATAAGCAAAACGATTTTTGAAGATAATAGAGCAGATCACATTGCAAGGAGCACAACCCAGGATAAAAGTGGGGTCACAGGGTGAGCCTGAAGAACAGAAAATAATTATAAAATTTCAGTAAATTGTACATAGAAAATAGTAAAAGAAAGGTACTTTAGAAACTATATGTACTATCTTACATACAAATTTTCCTAACAGCCAAATATTCATCATATATTTAGTCAACACATCACTTTTTCCTGAAATCTGAGTTGACTATTACAACCTAAGTAGTTAAAGAAAATTAGTTCATATTCATTGCCTTGCCCACCCCCTTTGTATCTCAGCTGTCTGCTGGGATAATTCAGAAAAGCATTATACCTGTTTGAAATGCTCATAGATTATACAGCACTAATATAGATAGGAAACAAGTAATGGAGGCCAAAAAACTTATGACAAATAGTGAATACTTGAAAGGATCATGAATTCAACCAGTAGAGATGAACTATGGGGTAAGAGAATAATAATTCAAGTAGTGGCTGGCACTCATAATTGGTGCCCATAAAACTGGCTACTCAGGAGGCTTTCTGAGGATCAGGGTTTTAAGCTAGCCTGCCAGGAAAAGTTTGTGAGACTATTAAACAAAATGGTAAGAGACAGTAAGTACCCAGGCTCAGAGTTCAAGCCCCAGGTGTGGTACACAAAAAGAGAAGAAGAAGGAAGAAATGATAGGGAGAGTATACATAACATACATTGTAACTTTACATAGAAATGTTACAATGATTTGTACCTTTGTACAAATAATGTGTACTAAAAACAAGCTCAATTAGGACCTAAGCAGATAATCTGCAGCAAGCACATAGTAGCTGAGTCAGCAATAGGAGGACAATAATGACTATGTATTCACTAAAACAAAATCTAATAACATCAGAAATAATGATAGGCCAAAATGATAAGGGAGGCAGACTAAATTGATGGAAGGCTAGATAATCACTGACACTACTTGAATCAGTTTACATTGTGTATATTTTGTAGATTTATGCCACCACATATGCTTACACAAAACATATAAACAATAAGTATTATGAAAGAAGAAATAATGATAAAAATTGACAGTTGTGTGGCTTTTACAGAAAAAATAAATCATGAGAATTCCTTTAAGAGATAACCAAGAAATGAAAATGATATATTCCACCAATGTTTCCCACAATGCTTTGGGGAGTATTGAGGAACTACTGGGACATGTTGATGAAACTGGGCATACCAATTAGTTTAAAAGAATGGAAGCAAGCACAAGAATAAACCTCAGGACCAATGGAATAGAATTGAAAACCCAGAAATGAACCCACAGACCTATAGCCACCTAATCTTCAATAAGGGAGCTAAAAAAATAGAATGGAAGAAAGACAGCCTCTTCAGTAAATGGTGCTGGCAAAATTGGTTAATTATTTGTAGAAAACTAAAGTTCGATCCTTATATATCACCCTGCACCAGAATCAACTCCAAATGCATCAAAGACCTCGGAGTCAAAGCAGACACTCTGAAAACATCACAGGATGGAATAGGAGAAACCCTAGGTCTCCTTGGCTCAGGCCGAAATTTTCTTAATAGGGACCAGAAACACAACAAATCAAAGAAAGTTTGGACAAATGGGATTGCATGAAATTGCAGAGCTTCTACATGGCAAAGGACATAGCTAGCAAGATCAATAGAAAGCCCACAGATTGGGAGAAGATCTTTACTAGCCATACAATGGTCAAGGGTCTCATATCTAAACTATACTTGGAACTCAAAAATTAAATCCCCCAACAACAAATCCTCAAAGAAACAACTGCCCAATAAATAAGTGAGCTAAATACTTAAAGAGAAACTTCTCTGAAGAGGAAAGAAGGATGGCCAATAGACACATGAAGAAATGCTCAACCTCTCTAGTCATAAAAGAAATGCAAATCCAAACCTCATTGAGATACCACCTCACCCCAGTTAGAATGGCTATAATCAAGAACTCTAATAACAACAGATGCTGGAGGGGATATGGACAGAAGGGAACCTTACTGAATGTTGGTGGGAATGTAAACTTGTTCAACCACTTCGGAAAGTAGTATGGAGGTTCCTCAAAAGACTCCACATAGAGCTCCCCTATGACCCAGCAATTCCACTCTAGGGCATTTACCCAAATGATCACAAACAAGACCGCACTAAAGCTACCAGCACAACTATGTTTATTGCAGCATTATTTACCATAGCTAAGATATGGAACCAACCCAGATGCCCGTCAGTAGATGAATGGATCAAGAAAATGTGGTTTATATACATAATGGAATTCTATGCCTCCATCAGAAAGAATGACATTGCCCCACTTGTTAGGAAATGGGAAGATTTGGAAAAAATTCTATTAAGTGAAGTAAGCCAGGCCCAAAGAAACATAGGTCCCATGGTTTCCCTTATATGCAATATCTAGTATATGTATGAGTCAAGCGGAAAAGGTCAGATAATGTGATGTTAGGAAAACGATCCCTTAAATATGTATTTTAATGTTTTTTTTTCTTTCATGCATGTGTTTCTAACGCATTTATAAGATTATTTCTTTGTTGCTTTGTATGTCCCTCCCCCACAGTGCAACCCCCGCTTTCACTATATTTGATGTCAGTATAACTTGTGGAGGAGATGGGGACAAACAAGTCGTTTAAGGATTCAGGTGGACCTGTTGCAACAATGAGAAGTACAAAATGTCATGTCAAAAAGGAGCTTTACAATGTCGGTGTGGGGGGGGGGCGGAAGGATTAGATGGGGGGGAGGGGGGAGGCTGGGAAGGGAGGTGAAGGGTAAACAAAGGAGGAGGCTGCAATGCTTGGTAAGAAATGTCTGCATTATCCTGCCCATGTAATTGTAACCCCTCTGTACAGTATGTTCTCAAATAAAATAAAATAAAATTAAAAAAAAAAAAAAGAAAAAAGAAAAAATGGTCAGATAAGTTGATGTTAGATGAAATGAACCCCAAGATAAGTATCCAAATGTTTTTTCTTTCATGCGATTGTTTCTAACATATTTATAAGATGATTTCTTTGTTGCTTTGTATATCCCTCCCCCACAGTATAACCGCTGCTTTCACTGTATTTGATGTTGGTATAATTTGCGGAGGGGAAGGGAAAAAACAAATCATTTAAATAGGGATTCAGGTGGACCCATTGCAACAATGTGATGTACAAGTCATTATGTCAAAAAACAAACTTTACAACTTTGGTGGGGGGGAGGAGGACAAAGTGAGGGGACAGGGGGAGGTATGGAAAGGAATGGGAAGGGGGAACAAAGGAGGACGCAACAATGCTTGATAAGAAATGTACTCATTATCTTGCCCGTGTAATTGTAACTCCTCTGTATGGTATTTTCACAATAAAAAAGAAAAAAGAAAGAAAATAAAAGAATGGAAGCAGCTGTCCTGTGATTTGGAATCTATAGGGTTGATTGTTTCTTTCCTCCTTGTTCATTGGGCAAGTATTCTCTGGTGTGATGAAGACAACGGAGAAGCTATATTGTGTGGAGAGTGGAATGGTCCTTAACTCTTCAGAGAATGTATTCCACCTCTATAGTTATGATTTCTGATTTGAAATAAAAGCAAACAAAATTTGGGACAGAATACCAATACACATTTTATTTCAGTGCTTTCTAATATGAATTTTCTATTCTAAAACTTTCATATATTTCCAAGTTGGGCTGTGATAGCTATCAAATTATCTTGCTCAAATCCTATCACTTATATTTAAAATAGTAAGTTAACACTTTATTTCTTTATCTAGAGTGCTATGTTAAGTTTAGTGATAGAAAGCTGCACCCACCCTTGGTTTTCCTCAACTCCTCCACGAGGCAGCGGGCTTCCTCTTGAACACGCTCTTCAATGCTCCTCTTCCCCATCCCAAAATTCCGCAAGGTCATGAGTGAGAAGCGCCTCATCTCTCTCCATGTGCTTCCATTGCTGAAAGCAATTCCTAAATGAAGAGAAGCAGCAACATGGATGAACACAAGCAAGGAAGATGAAGCAGACAGATGACATCCACAGGGATGGCCAAGCTCTGACTTAAGAACCCATTAGGCCTCTTTTTCTATCTTCCTTATCACCACATCTTCTGCCCAACATACAAACACATACCATGTACACACTTACCAAAACCTCTATTAGCTTTATCAACCAATGGGAGCCTGCCTCTTCCAGTGAACTCCTCCCCATGGTCAATCAGAGATTCCTTCACTGCTTCATATCCATGCAACACCACAGTGGGCTGCATGCCCATATACAGAGTGAACACAGGGCCATAGACTTTTGAGAACTGGAAAATGAAAAGAAAAAATCCTAGTGAAAAAAATCACTATTTGCTCCTCAGGATGAGCCTGATTAAAATTGATACCATCCTTGTATTTTTTCTTTATTCTTGCACACACTTCAAATATTTCCAAAGTTGATACATTGTAGGATGTTGTTTGATATGGCTGTCACTTAGAGATGACCTACAATATGCCATGCAATGAACCAGGCAGTTGAACACCATTATAACTCATATTCACATTCAAACACACAGCAGATGTGTCATGTTTCACAAAGAAAGAAATTGAGGTCAGGGGATTGGAAATTCATCTTCAGCATCTCATGGATAAGAAGTATAAGACTCAAATTGGAACCTCTGCTTATTCAACATTTGATATTTGGGATTTATAATTCTCCTTTGCACACCAAATCAGTAGCCAGATGACTGCTTCAGGACCACCTGTGAGGCTCTTACTGTTGACACTCTCATAGCCCTGTGATGAACCACAGAAATCTGCATTATAAAAATCACTAGTATTTTTACAGCTCAACTTGGAATCTACCGCTATTAAAAACACAGAGTGAGTCCACAGAAGCCACCCTAGCACATGAAACACATTAAGGAGAAACTATTTCTTATCCTGCAGCATGCTTTTCCACTGAAGTTTTTCTTTCTTTCTTTCTTTCTTTCTTTCTTTCTTTCTTTCTTTCTTTCTTTCTTTCTTTCTTTCTTTCTTTCTTTCTTTCTTTCTTTCTTTCTTCCTTTCTCTCTCTCTCTCTTTCTTTCTTTCTCTCCTTTCTCTCTCTTTCTTTCTTTCTTTCTCTCCTTCTTTCTCTCTTTCTTTCCTTCCTTCCTTCCTTTTCTTTCTTTCTTTCTTTCTCTCTCTCTCTTTCTCTCTTTCTTTCCTTCTTTCTTTCTTTCTTTCTTTCCTCCCCTCCTTCCTTCCCTCCTTTTTCCTCCTTCCCTCCTTCCCCCCCTGTCTATCTATATGAGCACAAAGATAAAAAGCAGAAAAATCTGGAAAAGTCATAGGTATATGGAAATGTACATGAGTATTTTACTTTATGATAATCTGTAATAACTTTCCTCCCATATTAGCTTTTTCTTTTAAAGCCTGGTTCAATTTATCTCCTATTGTAAACCATCAGAGGAGCAAGAAGAGTACTTACATTGTTTAAAGATTTGCTGAGGTTTTTAAAATTAATCTGCAGGGTATTTCCAATAATTGGGAGAGGAGTAGGGCCAGGAGGAAGCCTCCCTATTCCAGAACCCCGTCGCCACAGTGAAAGGAGAAGCAGGCAGGAGAGACTGAGCAGCAGGACCAGGACTGCATCCATTGAGGCCTTCTCTTATTGAAATCACTTCTTTTCTTACTTGTAATGGAAAGCTATTCTGATGTTTTCTGAGAATTTAGTGTGTCCCACTTTAGTACACTCTAATCTCTCTTCTGAATGGACTTTGTCCCAGTGACAGAGAAAGAGAAAATAGTTGTTTACTCTTGTCCCTCTTTCTAGAATGAAATGGGAGATTGTACTTTAATCAGGCTAATGGCCAACCCCAAATTGTCAATTTAAACAGGCCAAGAGGTTTTTAATGGACAAGCATGTCTGAGAAATACTGTTAATCATCTCACACCAGAAAATTACTCCAATTCTATATTCACAGGTGATTATGACTTTGAGGCTACTCTGAATGATGTAGGAATTGTGTATTTAAAAACGTTTCTTTGCGCCAGGCACCTGTGGCTTACACGTGAGATCTGAGGATCACAGTTTGAAGCCAGCCTGGGCAGGAAGTTTGTAAAACATTTTTTTTCTGTTGTGCCAGTTCAGAAGCTTGAACCTAGGGCCTGGACATGGTCCTTGAGCTTCTTTGTGCTGAAGGCTAATACTCTACCACTCGAGCCACAGGGCCGCTTTGGCTTTTTCTGAATAGTTTATTGGAGATCAGAGTCTTATGGACTTTTCTGCATGAGTTGGCTTTGAACTGAGACCCTCAGATCTCAGCCTCCTGAGTAGCTAGGATTACAGACAGGAGCCACAGACACCCAGCTTGTGAGACTCTTATCTCTAATAAACTACCAGAAAAAGCTAAAAAGGTTGCTGTGCCTCAAATGGTAGAACCATAGATTTGAGTATAAGAAACTCAGAGACAAAGTCCAGGCCCAGAGTTCAAGCCCCAGGACTGGCAAAAAAGAAAAAAAAAAACTTTTTTGCTTAATAAAAGATTTTGAGATGTGTTCTCAATAATTGGAGCCTCCAACTTATTAGTAACTAAATTTAAAATCTGCCTTGACTCATACATCATGAATGAAGCTAATCCATATGTTTGTAGTTTGTAGTTACATTAAGTAGCATGAGCTTTACCATGAAGAGGCAAACAGAAAAGAACTACCAATGTCACACATAGGTAGAAGACTAGAATTTCACTTAAATCTTCTAAGGGGCATTGTGATGCTCTTTGGCTTCCTGAAGAAAATAAAAATGAACACTCATTCAAGGTCACCAGGGAATAGCCAACTGTCACATAGTTTAGTGAAATGGAATTGAATAACTAGGGATTTTATACTTCCCAGTTACCCTAGATAAGCTGATCCCATTGGTTTTGATGCTTCATTATCAGGAAACAAAAAATAAAATAATGCACAGCAAGGAAAGGACACTAAATATAGCCATAATGTTAGATGTGTTAGAGGGTGGATGGTAGGGATATTTCATTCCAAAGAGCATGCCCAAAACAACAGCAAAATGTCATTTAGTTATTATACACATTCAAATGATAGACGTTAATAGAACACAAATGAAAATGCCAAGTCAAAGGTATGTTTTGTAATGATGTTGTCCTATTTGTTCTAAATATTGTGGTTCAGTATTTGGTGATCCATCTTAATCAATGACAATCAAATAAGCAGGTATTTAGTTACTAATTGCAGCATCCATGAATTAAAATGAAGATCAGAAAACTTGATGTTCATTGACCTCTGATCCTTAGAGTGAATCCTTTACATAGAGTAAAATAAATAGTAATTCATTGGTTGACTTATAAAGCTCTAAACCCCAAAAGAATTATATCTCCTTACTTTACCTAAGACAAACTTGATATCTTTCTCTGAACAATAACACTTTTTATGCCTAAAGAGAGAGTTCTTTCTTTCTTTTTTTCCTTTATTCAGCTGAGGTGAGACTCTACTTAGATCATTTCTCTTAGAGAATGTAAAAAATTATAGATAATTTAAGAAAAAAGGGTTCCTACACTTTGTCTTGTTTTTAATTGTGACACAGGGAGATTGGGGCTCACTGGTTCAGTAGTTTTATCAAAGATCAGTTGACTACGTTTGTGAAAATCTTTCCCTGGCTCTCTTTTTTATTTGTCACTTTTATATTATGTCATATCACCAAGACCTGTTCACTCTATATGCACAATTTCTCTTGAAGTCAAGTCAGGGGGAGGGCCTGTTGGTTCTCTTCTCTTTCAGTATTGTTTATTACTATTATGGTCTTTTTGCCATAAAAAGTTTAAAAATTTTAAAGCAGACTTCCAGTTCTTAAAGTAGATTTTGCCTGAATATTATTGGGTTCAATTTGTATCTATAGATCAAACCAAGAAGCAAAACTCAGGTGAACATTTTTTTGATTAATCAGCCTTTGGGATGGGTCAGCATCATGAACAGCCAAAGAAGCTGACAGACAGCCTGTCTTGTGGAATGAGCAGTTGAGAATGGTATTTCAGTTTAATTTCACTATACTGTTTTATAGTGATGTTTTCAGGTGACATATTTGAAATAGTTTTTTTCCTCCCTATGGGCTTTCTACATTTAACATCCATTTTACTATTTCCTGTTAGTTATTAAAAAATTAATTTGAAAGAGCTCGTGTGTGTGTGTGTGTGTGTGTGTATGTATGTTTGTATGTCAGTCCTGTATCTTGTATGCTGTCCTTGAGCTTTTCTGCTCAAGCCTAGTGCTCTACCATTTGAGCTTCACTTCTGGCTTATTTTTTCTTGGTAATTAATTGGAGATAAGAGACTTACAGACTTTCCTGCCCAGGCTTCATACCACAGTCCTCAGATCTCAGCTTCCTGTGTGGCTAGGATTGCAGGCATGATATACTGGTGTACCCAGCTTTTCATTTCATTTCTTTTCTTTTTCTTTTCTCTTCTTTCTTCCCTATAATGCTAAAGATCAAATCCAGGATCTAAATACTTCACTGTATTATACCTTTAGAGGATATCACTTGGTCTTTTTTCAGGTTTTATTTTTTACACTACTTTTATTATAGTTAAGTAGTTGTATAAACAGTTGCCATTCATCAAAGTACTTTATGAACACAGTGCATCATGATCAATGTCACTCCTTTTCACATTCTTACTCACCTTTCCAAAACCACTTCTTCCCTTACTTATCTTAATTTTAGGTTTATAGTAGCTGAATTACTAGCAAGAGTAATAAAGAAAGATTAAATCAGTAGCTTCTCTTGGTCTTTAAAAATATAAAGACATTCCCAAACTCCATGAAAGTTAAGAGAAATTAAATCCTAAGTTTTCCTTTAAGTCTTTCCTCCACCTGTCATGTGTCAGGCAGAACTAGGAGTGTAGCAGTCTGCCACTGCATTTCCCTGGGCTCCCTGGGTGGCCTAGGCCCACATGGCTCTTCCAGCTGGTAATGGGATCCAGTAGGTGAGGCTATGGCTTCAGAGTCATAGCATCACATCACAGTCTCACTTACATGGAGTGTAAAACAACAAGTGGGACGGAGAAAAATAAAAGGTATGGTGGTGTCTAGAATTTTGCTGTTGTTAGGAAGAAAAAGACTATACACAGAACTTATAGTCAGCAATATGGAAGCACATGTTCATTCTTGTATGAAAGATGGAAACAGGAAATCAATAGAATCTTTCAAATTTTTGTGTTTGGTTCACAGCAACATGAAAGCAAGGCCATGAATCTTAACCTTAATGTCTCTTTCTCCGGCTGTTTCATTCAATACTCCCTACAGGTTAGAACTGCTTCTGGACAGGTTTTCTCTGTTTTAAATCCATAACTCTAGTTATCATGATAGGGTTTCATACCATCTTCTCTTTGATGTTCTGTATGCTTTTCATTGTACAGACCATCACATCTTTGATGCTATTTTATTTCAATGCTTATCTCAACCATCCATAGAAAAGAGTATCCGAGATGTGCCCAGTAATTCATAGTGCTGATTATTAAGAACTTGCAAAAAAGAAATGACTCTGAATTGACATATGCTAGTCATTTTGCTGTTTTACAGGGATAACATAATAGCTAAGTTTTAGAATGACCCATGCAATTCTTACAGAGCATTGGAAATAGCAGATATTGGTGCAGTAACCCAGGAAATTCTCCAGAATGGAGAACAAGTGCTCCTTGGATCAAAAGAGAAAAAGGAGATATGGGAGTAAGGTAACACTCTTGGGGAAAAGAGACAACAATTGCAGTCAGAAGCACTGCAGATGTGTGGCAGAGCTCTTGTTTAGACAGGAATAAAGCAGAGTTGATATGGAGGTGGCACACTAGTAAATCCATTGCAAACAGGGATTGTGTTGAGATCCTTTGGGTCAACCAGAGGTTTAAGTTTAAAGTTCTGTAAAATGCAGATCAGGTATATGAAGAGTTCCATGCGGGCCAACCCCTCTCCTGCACAAATCCGTTTTCCTAAAACAAAAATAAAATCATGTTGTGACACCTACTATTTAACTCACTATGAGAAACACTACATTTGTAAACAGACATGAGAAAAGGATTGTTCTTTGATGATTTATTGGATGCATGACTGGGAAGATGGAAGGATAAGGTACATGGGCAAATGGCCAAATGATGGGTCGATTGATTATGATATAATACCATGTGATCTTACCAAGTATATCAATCAACATTATTTATTATTATATATGAGGCTCATACAAATATTTTAAATTTTTTCACACTAAAATTGCCGTTTTGAGCTGAGTGCTGGTGTTCATATCTATCACCCCAGCTACTCAGGAAGCTGAGATCTGAGGATCATGGTTTAAAGCCAGCTGGGGCAGGAAAGTACATGAGACCCTTATCTCCAAGAAACTACTCAGAAAAAGCCAGAAGTGGTTCTGTGACTCAATTGGTAGAGTGTTAGACTGAAGTAAAAGAAGCTCAGGGAAAATGCCCAGGCCCTGAGTTTAATCCCCTGGAGTGGCAAAAAATATGCTGTTTTAAAATAAATTTCAATAGTTCTTTTTGGGGCTGGGAAAGTGGCTCAGTGGTAGAGTGCTTGCCTTGTATGCCTGAGGTCCTGGGTTTGATTCCTCAGCACCACATAAGCAAAAAAAAAAAAAAAAAAAAAAAAAAAAGAGCCGGAAGTGGCGCTGTGGCTCAAATGGTAGAGCGCTAGCCTTGAGCTGAAGCATTGAGGGACAGCACCCAGGCCCAGAGTTCAGGCCTCATGACTGGACCCCCCCCCCCCAAAAAAAACAGTTCTTTTTTCTTCTGTGTACCAGTACTGGGGCTTGAACTCAGAGCCTTGTGGTCTTGCTTAGATTTTTCTCTCAAGGCTGACACTCTACGATTTGAGCCACATTTCCACTTCTAGCATTTTGGTGGTTAATTAGAAATAAAAGCCTCTTGGATTTGTTTGCCTGGTCTGTCTTAAACTGTGATGTTCAGAAAGAACTTGCCTTCCAGAGTAGCTAGGATTTATAGCATGAGCCACTAGTGTCTGGCCAAATTTCCTTCTATGTTCTTCTTGAAACATATCTATATTGCTTGTGTTTACAATTTCCAATGAACTGTTCTACAGTTCCTTTCTCCATTAGTTACACCTTTTATTCACTTTCCAATTAACATAATTTTATCTATCTGATATATACCATTAATTTCTAAGTATTATATCATGCTATCTCTATTGGCTAAGATATACTTTTCTTACATCACATTTAAGACACAGGTCAAACTTAATTTTTTCTTGTCACTCTCTGATACCTTCAAACAAAAAATAGTTGCCCCATTTGGTTTCATATTCATATTTTTAGTGAAGTACTGATCACCTGGAGTAATCAGATTTCTTAACTTTTTTCTTTTTCTCTTGTGTAGTAATGTGAATTCTTACAGAGAGATATCTGCCTTAGTGATCATGACAACCACAGTGACAGATAAAAAGCATATCTTCAAATCAGAGTTATCAGGCTGGGAAGGTGGCTCAGTGGTAAAGTGCTTGCCTTGCATGCATGAGACCCTGGGTTCGATTCCTCAGCACCACAGAAGCAAAAAGAAAAAAGCCAGAAGTGGCGCCGTGGCTCAAGTGGTAGAGCGCTAGCCTTGAGCTGAAGAGCTGAGGGACAGCGCCCAGGCCCAGAGTTCAGGCCCCACGACCAGACCCAAAAAATAAATTAAAAAAATCAGAGTTATCAAGAGCCAGAGGTAAGACTCAAGTGGTAGAGCATCAGCCTAAAGCCTGAGGCTCTGAGTTCAATTCCCAGTACTGATAAAAATAAAATAAAAAGTAGAAAAATCAGTGAAGGAAGTCAGTTTGGAGACCCAGCACACACCGAAGGTACAAGCATATAATATCTAAGATAGCTGACCAAGGTGCTCTGTAATCATTGCAGGGTATAGGCCATAATCCTAATATATCCATAATCTCATGGTTATTTGGCAGGATTTCTAACATCTTAACTAGGAGCAAATGTCCTGCTTCTCTGACTCTTTATTTCCTTAGAAACTCACTGTCTGTCTTTACCTCTTTCCATTTACTCTGCCTCAATTTTGATACAACTTAAGTACCTTTTTAAAGGCTAGACTGTTCCTTGCTCCATTTCATTGTTCATAGTGAATTATGGGAGAAAAAGAGGCTAGAGATTCTCCTCCAGTAGGCTGTACATCTGTAATCTGTATCTCAGTGATTTGGTTCTATTAGATTAAAATGAAGCATTTACTCTTCTTTCTTAATTGGATATCCAGTCATTTGCTGACTTTGTTTTTTGTATGTTTGGATTTCAATCTCCTCCCTGATGAGGGTGACCATCATGATACAGAACTTCATCAGTGAAGATACAGAGTCATATCACTTTTTTCCTGGTGTGTGAGGAACTTTTTTGTGTGTGAGGAACTTTTAAATAGTTTTTTGCTTTGTTTTGTTTTTGCTGGTCCTGGGGCTTGAACTCAGGGCCTGGGCTCTGTCCCTGAACCTCTTTATAGCTCTACCACTTGACCCACTGTGCCACTTCTGGATTTTTCTACTTATGTGGTACTGAGGAATCTTACCCTGAGCTTCATGCATGCTTAGGCAAGCATTCTGTCACTAAACCACATCCCCAGCCCTTAAATAAGTTTTAACTTTTAGGGAAATATTTCCATTACCTCTGTGATGCCTCAGAAGAATGCAAACAACCTGCACTGTATCTTTCTCAGTTTGTAAGAAATAACCAACAATCTAAATGCATCCTATTGTAGCCACCATTAAGACTCCACACTGAGGAGTATGAGTGTGTAGGCTTTGGGCTTTACAAGTGGTGTTTTGACTTAGGGAAAAAAAGCAAGTCTTCCAACTGTAGAAGAGATGCCACATAAGTTATAACAGATCACCACTATGAGCTGTTTTCTCCCCTGGAGCATACTTAAAATTAATTTATCGTACCTGTTGAGAAAGGCATGAAGTAGTCACTTTTCTTGAAGTTGCCACCCTCATCTAGAAAGTGGCCAGGGTTGAAGTCATTTGGGTTGGAGAATTCCTTGTTGTCATACAACACAGATGTCAGAGATGTTATTATGGCTGTGCCCTAGAAACAGCACATAAAGATGAGCCATGTTATACAGAAATGAAGGAGCAGAAAATTACAGTGGAAATCACATGTGGATTCCACAGTGGAATCACAGTGTAACCCACATGTTCTTGGGCTATAAAAGGGAAAACAAGGCCAGAGTAGATCTGTGGCATTTCCGAGAAGACAGATCATGTGACCAGTAGGGATGAAGTTTGAGGCAGTGGTAGTGATCTTGCTGACACAACCTGCAATAGCTTTGAACTACTGATTGTTTGGGCATTTGACATCGAAATGACTGAATCTCTTCTTATTATCAAGCTTGGACATTTGTTTCTGTCTCTATTTCTTGTTCCAATTGATCACTTCCTTTTCCATGTAATTCATGTGGATTGTGGTTTTTAAGGGAAGATTCTATTTGAATGTCCATAGTATCTGTTCACCTCACTTCTTATTAATAAATATTTGATTAGATTAGTTATGCGATCTTCTGGAGGGAAAACACAAAACCATAAACAAAGAAATATACAATTAATCTATAACATTGCTATGCAGTTTGTCTTCATTTGGACATAGAGGAGTTCTTTGTAATTATTATTTAATATGGTATTAATATTGGTTTTAATCAAGTACACATAAAACCCAGTTTCAAGGATAGAAAGAGCTAGCAGATATCTACTTATTAAGTGAGGAGAGTACAATAAACAATGACAGAAGGGTCATTTTTGTCTCAACTTCACCCATGTGATTCAGTCACCTGCATAGAACACAAGTAGTTTTCATTAAAAGAACCTGATCTGGAATCTAACTAATTGACAATACTGGCACATAGCCACTCTGAGGAGCATTTCACATGACCGTTGGCTGGATTCTCTGTTAATATTATTATACTGAAAGGAAACAAAGAAAGGACTTGTTCCTGCTTATGAAGACAAGATATTTACGCTAATCCAAATGCGATAATAAAAGTTTAATATGTGCTTTAAGTAAGGAAATAGATGCAGAGAATAGATTTGAGAAAATTGTGTGCATTTTTATGACCAAATTCATAGAAGAGGAAAAAGTTCCCTATCTGATGAAGGATATTTACTAAAATCAATTGAAGGCATCATTCTTGGGAGTGAGGAAGCCTCCTGACTTCCCTTGTGAGAAAGAAGAATTCCCACTACCACCAGTCTTTCCAGCACTGTCCTGAACATGCTAGCAGGTACAGTAAAGTGTTCAAAAGAAGTGAAAAATCTGGCACTGATGGCTCATTCCTGTCATTCTAGCTACTCACCATTATCCCTTTCCAGTTACACATCGATCTATTGATATCCATGCAAAAAAAATTCCCATAACAGTGTTTACAAGATTAACAAACTGAACATGTATCATTCCCTTGGAATCACAAACCTATGAATAGCCAAACAATTTCAAAGTTGTAGAACAAAGTCAGAAGACACATAGTGCCAGACAATGAGACCTGTGTCCAAGTTTAACAACCCCAAACTGGAAGCAGCTGCAAAATCTATCAAGCTGATACTTTTAGGAGTTTTATATTTACTCCTCTTCTCTTTGCAGAGAATTCATATTATTCTATCGACCTGGGAACATGAAGAGCACTGAGGTACAGCATAGACAAAATCTGCTTACTTTGGGAATGATGTAGCCTCTGAACTTAATGTCACGGGTCACTGCATGGGGCAGGTTGTTGGGTACGAGATCAATGTATCTCTGGATCTCATGCAGCACAGCATCTGTGTAGGGCATGTGGCTCCTGTCCTGCATGCAGGGGATCCGGTGCCTGCCAATCACTTGATCGATCTCTTCCTGGACTTTAGCTGGCAAGATTCAAGCAAGAAATGACTAACAGAAATACAATATATACTTGTCATCAATTTGGGTTGCTTGAAAAATGATGAAGTTGATCCAACATTATTACAAATATAAATGACTCTGACACAAGTGAAGCAAGTTGTCATAAGCATTGATCACTCATCTACTAAACAGACATTGTGATATATCATTTTCCACTGTGACTTAGCATTCATGGATATGATTTCAATAGAAGTAATTAAATGCTTTAAGAACAATCATGTGAAATGCTGGTGGTTTACATCTATAATCTTTGCTACTCAGGAGACTGAGAACTCAGGAGAGAGGTTCAAATGCAGCCTGAGTAGACAAATCTAAGAGACTCTTATCTACACTTAAGTAGCAAAAAACTGGAAGGGGCATAATTCAATTGGTAGAGTACCAGATGTGAGCACAAAAGCTGATCAAGAGCACAGGCCCTGGGTCCAAGCTCAATTACTGACACTAAATAAATAATACATAAATAGAATCAATACTTATTTTAGTGAAAAATGTATAAGTGTCACAGAAAGACAAACTAAAATTATATGCTCAATTAATCAAAACAACACCTGAAAAAGCATGTCTTTTCGGTGCCCTGATCTTACTGTCTTGCCTAGTATGCTGTTTTCCCAAAACTGGTTTCACCCTGCTCAACTGACCAGTCACTCCTTGTCCACTGTAGCTGTGGTCCATGCATATCTGTGCTCAACCTGAATGTGACAGAATGCCTGCTTAGCAAGCGTGCGACCCTGAATTCAAACCCCAGCATCACCAAAAGCAAAGAAGTAGAAAGAATAAAAATGAATTTCTGTATCCCTATTTAAACAATTTGTTTTTTCCCATTTTCCTCCCCAAATTATACCAACATCAAATACAATGAAAACAGGGTTTATACGGTGGGGGAGGGACATACAAAGCAACAAAAAAATCATCTTATAAATATGTTAGAAACAATAGCAAGAAAGAAAAACCATTTGTATCCTTATCTTGAGGTTCATTTCACCTAACATCAACTTATCTGACCATTTCTGCTGGTCTCAGACATATACTAGTTATTGCAAATAAGGGAAACCATGGGACCTATGTTTCTTTGGGTCTGGCTGACTTCAACAAACAAGCTGAAATGTGCTGAAAAGAAGAATCTTCTCAATATCCTTCTGGAAGTCACTTAACTCTCATGTGAGGACATACCTGCAATGTGTGGGTGCTTCATCAGGAGCAGCAGAGCGTACCTCAGGGTGGTGCCGCTGGTCTCTGTGCCAGCTGCAAACAGATCAGCAGCGCAGATTACCAAGTTTTCATAAGTAAATTCTGACTGTTTATTGTCCTTTACCTAGAAATACATGGATGAAATTATTCCACAAATGGCTTACCAATAGAAAATAGAATAAATAAAAGGCAAAAAAGCAACAGCAGACACTAACAGGAAGAGGAGATAAGTAACAAATATAAGACAGAACAGGAAGTATGACAAGATGCTTGTCACTAGAATGCTAGACAGAGCAAAGGCAGAGAAGAAGCAGAATCTATTTGAAGATATAATGGCTGAAAAGTTTCCAATTCAAGGAAAGTCATGAATGAAATTCATGTAGGAAATTCAATGAGAGTCAAGAAAATAAAGCAAAAGAGATTCATGCCACAGCATATTTTAATCCATCTGCTGGGAATTAAGGACTAACCAACAATTGAAAGCAGCAAGAGAGAAGCAATTCCTCACACAGTACCCTCAATATGAGCAGTAGCTCACTTTCCTTTAGAAACTGTGGAAGTCAGCAAGTGTTATTATAATATATTTAAAATGCAGACAGGAAAACATGTTGTATTTTATAACATTTGGAAATGGTTTCTATTTGGCCTACTCTGTACAATCAGTTTCTCTTCAGGAAGACCATTTGTATGTAAAGAAAGGAAGTATGTTTTATTATTGAACAGATTAGTTTATGTTTTTCAGGATGCCTGATATAGAATCACATTCATAATAAGTACTTGAAGTGCTTTCATTCCTTTTTGGGCTGAACCTGTGAGTGTCTCTAGTAATCACAGAGGAATTCAGTGAACCACAGAACTCCCAAGCAATCAAAGGACTACATTGATGTAAGCATTTTACCTGCTTCATATGTATCAGGAAACAGTCAATGAAGTCCCGAGGGTTGTTCACATCCAGAGTTTTTTCGTGTTCTTTCACTTTCTCCATAACAAAATTTATAATATAGTTGGCATTTTTAAGAAGTTTTTTATGACTTCCTGGTAGATAATCAATGAGAGCAGGGAATCTATTGTAGACCTACAACAAAGAACAATAATTTATTTAATGAAATGTAGAGTTCACACATATGTATATATATAATGTATATATATTTTATATGTATGTGTATGATAAATATGCAAAAATATACACACATATATACACATTATATAGATTATACATATTATATAGATTTAATAATATATACAAAACAAACTGATATGGCATGGTTAGAATTCATTTCATATGAATAAAATATGCCTGCTTCAAGGTATTTTATTGTACATATGTAATAATTATCTATACAGGTTGGAAAACCTGTAGGAGAAAGGAGACAAACATTTTTGAGATTCATATACCTTTTGTGTACACATTAACTCATGTACACATTTACTCAAATTTTAAATTAATTTTGCCCCTCCCAATCTAGCATGACATGACTTATTTAATTCACATTTTATATATGGTAGCTAATGATGAAACAAAAGAAAGAAAGAAGGAAGGAAGGAAGGAAGGAAGGAAGGAAGGAAGGAAGGAAGAAAGAAAGAAAGAAAGAAAGAAAGAAAGAAAGAAAGAAAGAAAGAAAGAAAGAAAGAAAGAAAGAAAGGAAGGAAAAAGAGAAAGAAAGAAGTTAGTTTGAGGGGAAAAGAGATTCTGGCTTCACCTGAATCCATGGTGAGCTCAGAATTTTGAGGTTTTCGTTGAATTTTTCCATTAACTTCAGGAATTTCTGGTCTTTATAATCAAACCGATTTTGGAAAACAATGGAGCAGATCAAATTGCAGGGAGCACAGTCCAGAATGAAGGTGGGATCGCAGGGTGCGCCTGGAAAATAGAAAACATTTTAAAAATGGCATTAAAGTATATATGCCAGACACTTTGCCTTTGTTAGCAGGTAAGTAGTTTGAGTAATTTTAGGTGTTCTGTTCCCTACACATTTCCTTTTATAGCAAATAACTTAGCATATATTAAGCAGCTGGTCACATTGAACCCAATCTGTAGTTGGACATTATAATCTAGCTAACTAAATAATGGAGATTCACACATTCATTTCATATTCACTAACGTTTGCTTAGACCTATTTGACATCAAATGCTTGCAATTTTGAAGGAAAAAAGACTTCAAATAACAGATAATGTATACCTTCAGAGCAAGTCTCCTCTCTCTGTCAAGCATGTAGAAAAAGCACCACTAAAAGGGATGGTAATAAATTAGTGGGTACCAGGAACTTTTTATGCACAAATAATGATTAAAATAATCTTTCTTTAAATAAGAAAGAGTGAGAAAGAGTGGGTTAACTTATGAGTTGGAGGAAAAGCAGAACACAACTAAATTATGAGTTGAAAGAATAATGTCAAGAGCAGAAAACCTAAAATGAAATTTTTGGTGTAAGCAAATAATTGTTGTTTGTTGGTCATGGGGCCTGAACTGTGGGCCTGAGCACTGTCCCTTAGCTCTTCAGCTCAAGGCTAGTGCTCTACCACTTGTGCCACAGCACCATTTCCTGCCTTTTCTGCTTATGAGGAATTGAACCCAGGGTCTCATGCATGCAAGGCAAACACTCTTCCACTGAGCCACCTTCCTAGCCCAGCAAATAAGTGTTTTTTACTCACATATCCACCCAAAGTAAATGAAACAAAAGAAGACATAAAAATTGGTGGCGGAGTGTGGTCGTTCATACTCCTAATCTATAAGAGGCAAAAGTAGGGGAATAACAGTCCAAAGCTAGCCTGGGAGAAAGCAAGAGCCTATGTGAACAAGAATTAAAGAAAGATCTAGTGGAATGGTTTAAGTGTTAGAGAACCTCCTTGAAAGCTGAGGCCATGAGATCAACCCCAGTACTGATGAAAGGAAGCAAAGAAGCAAGCATGCAAGCAAGACAAAGAAAGAGAGAGTGGGGGGAGGGAGGGAAGGAGGGAGGGAATGAGAATGAGGGAGAGAGAAGAGAGAGAGAGAGAAAGAAAGAAAGAAAGGTAAAAAGAAAGGCAGAAAGAAGGAAAGAAAGAAAGAAAGAAAGAAAGAAAGAAAGAAAGAAAGAAAGAAAGAAAGAAAGAGAAGGAAGGAAGGAAGGAAGGAAGGAAGGAAGGAAGGAAGGAAGAAAGAAAGAAAGACAGGAGAGATAGAGGGAAGGAAGGAAGAAAGGAATGAGGAAGGAAGGGAGGGAGGGAAAGAAAGAAAGAGAAAGAAAGAAAGAAAGGAGAAACAGAGGGAAGGAGGGAAGAAAGGAATGAGGAAGGAAGGAAGGAAGTGGAAGGAACTAAAGGACAAAGAAAGGGGAAGGAAGGAAGGAAGAAAGGAAGAAAAAAAGAAAGAAGGAGGAAGGTTGGGAGGAATAAGGAAAGAAGAAAGGAAAATGATGGAAAGGGAAAGGAAAAGGAGGGGAATGTTTCAAATGATGTTTCAATGTTTCAAATGATGCATTTCCCTCTTGAGGGAGTAAATGCACAACATTTCCAATAAAATCCAAATATTAATTTATTAGACATAGTTGACATTTGTGGATTCTGAGATGCTGTTCTACATAGTCTTCAACTGAGTAATATGCTTCATAAAATTTGGAAGTTATACCCATCGCTTAGGCCAAGTTTACATTGCTATAACATAATAAAGAAATTAAATTTTACTCAAGGTTTCCTTTTGGCTGTAACCTCTGCAGGGAAATGGCTGGATCAATTGATCAATATGCTTTATGGGTAACAAGCTCACAAATGTACATACATATACCCTAACTAAGGGTGACATGATTTAACGTGTTCTGACTAAATAGTAGGGCCTCTGAGCTTAAGAAACTTGTTATCTTCCTGTATGCCACATTTCATAGACATTACAGTGTTCTAATAGATCAGAAAAGGTATTCTTTTAGCCCAGGAGATTGAGAATAATTTGAGAAGCAAGGAGATTGTAGATTTACTTATGTATCATTTACAGTTAAGCTTTTATTTTGAATTTTTCACCTTCTTTGGAGGAATTTCAAAACAATCATTTATCCCAAATGAGTAATCAGATTCATTTTGAAAATGATTTACTTAGTAGGTGAGTAGAGTTGACTGTGATAGGAAAACAATCACCATAATAGCACAATCCAAAAGAGGTCAAGCAAAATTATTTATCAGTAAGTCCAGGAGGCAGAGATAGGAAAATTGCAGTTAATAAGTGAGCACAGACAAAATGTTAATGCAATCCTATCTCAAAATCAAGTTGTGCAAGATAGAGAATGTTTGCAATGCCAGTGCTCAGGAGGCTGAGGCAAGAGGACCATAGTCCCAGCCTGGCTATGACAAAAATAAATAACTTACATTTATGTGAAGGAGAAAACATTGTTCATTAGCCCAGAACATAGCCACAATATCTACATTCATAAGTTTGAGATAGAATAGGATGAACCCATGTTTGATGATCACTCTGCATGTACAGCCATGCTTGATACTCACAACCTGGATGCACAACTACTGCTTGCCATTCTACTGAAGCCTTCCTCTTCTACTAGAACTCACAATTCAGATCCAAAGTGAAAGATCTGGCTGCTCCTGAAATGTTCCCAAGGGAATCAAGAGCAAGGAGAGCAATCTGTACGGGTCAGTGAGAAAGCAGCACCCACCATTGGTTTTCCTCAACTCCTCCACCAGGCATCTAGCTTCCTCTTGAACTCTGTCCTCAATGCTCCTCTTCCCCATCCCAAAATTCCGCAGGGTCATGAGTGAGAAACGTCTCATCTCTTTCCATCTCTTTCCATCGCTAAAAATGATTCCTAGAAGCAGGAGCATCAGAAACTGAGAGGGAGATCCAAGGCCAGACAGATGAAGGTGAAAGCCACATATCTTTGTGTTCTTTCCCCCCAAAACCACACCCACTGCCCACTATGCAAATATGCACACTCTCAGGCACACTTACCATGCCGTTTACTAAATTGGTCTATAGCTGGAAATGTGTCTCTTCCAGAAAACTCCTCGCCATGATCAACCAGGGCTTCCTTCACAGCTTCATATCCATGAAGCACCACAGTGGGCTTCATACCAAAATACAGAGTGAACACATGGCCATAGACTTTTGAGAACTGAAAATGAGAAGCAAAGCCCAAATAATATCAAGAAAAGTCAATATGTGGTCTATTTCAAACAGATAATATTATTGAAATGTTTATGCTCAATCTAACACACAGAGTTTGAGATAGTTCTGAAGTTCATACATGAATGGTAAGTTTTATAGCTGCCACTTTCTGAATAGCCAGCAATATATTAGGTACCTGCTGAGCAAGTTGGTGCACAGATTAATCTCTACATGAATAGAGTTATTGAGTGTATTCATTATGTTTCATAGTATCCAATGAATGTATTCATCATGTTTCATAGTGAATGCAGGTGAGGTCTAAGAATTCTAACTTATTTCCAATGTCCTTTGGTGAATAAATAGAAAATTAAGATTTGAATTTCTGTTCATTAAACTTTTGATGCTTGACTAATGTATTGTTCCATACTGCTCCTTTTGAAGTGGACGCCTATATCAACACCTGCTTCAGGATGAACTGTGACACTGTGGAGAAACTGGCTCTGAAGCCCTATGAACAGTAATAACTTGCAACAACAGGTAACTTTTACTGCCTAGACAAGTTTGAAATATACCAATATAACAAACACAGGGAGTGTTCCTCACCCCGGCCCCCAGCCCCCAAAGGCAGCCTCAGGACAGAAAACTTCTCTTGGAAGATAAATTTCTTCCATCATTCAGCATTCTGTGCTCCTGACAATGTCTTTGTTCAAACAGATTTAGATACCAAGTATGCTCCAACGCATTGCTTTTTTAAATTCTTTATGCTATTCCACATCTAGAGGCAATCACTTGACATTAGGCATAAGTTAACTCTTCAAAAATGCTTAACTTTGAAACAACACAACACAAAAACAAAACAAAACAAAACAAAACAGGGGACCACAGACAGGATGATGCATGACTTATTAGATGAAATATCTAATCAAAACACTTTTTTGCTCTATATCTTCAGCCCCAAGTCATACAAAATTACAGTAAAATGAATAAGGGGAAACCATTCACAAATGTTGCTACGCTGTGATTTTGGTTATTAATATATATGGCTTAAATTTTGTTCTACTGAAAAAAATGCATTATTCGTTCCATGATTCTTCAGCCAAGGGCAAATTGTAAAAAGTTAGTGGTGCATCAAAGTTTACAGGAAGCATAGTGCTTTGTGATTATCTACTACAGTACTGTAGCTGTATGATTTTATTTTCAGACAAGAAACTAGGGTTAACTTACCTCACTTGCAAGCTATGAGAAGAACAGCAAGCATACTCACATTGGCTAAGGAGTTTCTGATATCTTTAACGTCTATTTGCAGGAAATTTCCAATAATTGGAAGAGGAGTGGGGCCTGGAGGGAGCCTCTTCCTCCCAGAGTTCTGTTTCCAGAGTGAAATCAGAAGCAGGCAGGAGAGACCCAGCACCAGGAACACAACTGTATCCATTGAGGCCTTCTCTTCTTGCTGAGACAACTGTGAGCTTACAATCTTGAGCTTTCATAACACTCCTGGATGAGTCAACATATGCTTCTTGGGCAGAAAAATGATTAAACCAATTGGGTGAACTTTAACCTCTCAGTTGAACAGAGTTTATCTCAATGACTGAGATAAAACAAAATACAAAATGAAACAAAGGTTATTATCTTTGTCCTTCATTGTAGGCCAAATTTGGGAGTTACCTAATCTTATTGGCTAATGTCCATGCTTGGTCATTAAAAATATGAGCTTTTACATTGTGCAGTCATTTCTGGAAGATACTAAAGTTGATCATTTAATCAAAAAGATCGGTGAAAATTCTACATTCCCAGCTAATTTACCAGTAGGAAATTTATGACTTTGGATATTCCATAGGCTGTATGAATTGTAACTTAAAAATGTTTCTTAGGCTGGGAATGTGGCTTAGTAGTAGAGTGCTTGCCTAGCATGCATGAAGCTCTGTGTTTTATTTTTCAGCACCACATAAACAGAACAAAACAGAAGTAGCACTGTGGCTCAAGTAGTAGAGTGCTAGCCTTGAGCAAAAAGCAGGTCAGGAACAGTGCTCAGGCCCTGAGTTCAAGCCATAAACCTGGCAAAAAAAAAAAAGGGGGAGGGGGACACAAGTGTTTGTTTCCTTTCTTGCTATTGTTTCTAACATCTTTATAATGTACCATGTGATTTTTTTGGTTTCTTTCTATGTCCCCCCCCCTCCCCCGCCCAGGGTATAACCTCTGTTTTTTATTCCAGTGCTCTGTATCTTGTTTTTTTTTTTTTTAAATTTTATTTTATATGAGAACATACTGTACAGAGGGGTTACAATTACATGGGCAAGATAATGCATACATTTCTTACCAAGCATTGCAGCCTCCTCCTTTGTTTACCCTTCACCTCCCTTCCCAGCCTCCCCCCTCCCCCCCACCCAATCATACCCCCCCCCCACACACCGACATTGTCAAGCTGATTTTGACATGACATTTTGTACTTCTCATTGTTGCAACAGGTCCATCTGAATCCTTAAACGACTTGTTTGTCCCCATCTCCTCCACATGTTATACTGACATCAAATATAGTGAAAGCGGGGGGTTACACTGTGGGGGAGGGACATACAAAGCAACAAAGAAATAATCTCATAAATGCGTTAAAAACACATGCATGAAAGAAACAAAAACATTGAAATACATATTAAAGGGTTCGTTTTCCTAACATCACATTATCTGACCTTTTCCTCTTGACTCATACCTATATTAGATATTGCAAATAAGGGAAACCATGGGACCTATGTTTCTTTGGGCCTGGCTTACTTCACTTATATACACTTCACTTTTCTAATTTGGGGAGGGGAAGGGAAAAAACCAAATGCTTAAATAGGGATACAGGTTGTCCCATTGCAGCAATGAGATGTACACGACACTATGTTGAAAAATGAACTTTACAATTTAGGCTTGGGCCGGGGGTGGGTGGGTAGGGGGTGTTGGGGCGAGTGTAGTTGGGGATGTGGGAGGGAATGGATGGTGGGGAAAAACAAAGGTGGAGGTAACAATGCTTGATGGGAAATGTACTCATGACCTTGCTCATGTAACTGTAACCCCTCTGTACAGTATTTTTACAATAAAAACATATTTTAAAAAAGAAAAGAAATCTTACTCCTAGGCATTTAACCAAACGACTACAAGCAAGGCCACACTAAAGCCACAAGCACAAGTGTGTTCATTGCAGCATTATTTACCAAACCTAAAATATAGAATCAGCCCAGATGCCTCTCAGTAGATGAAAAACAAAGGAGGAGGCAACCGTGCTGGATAGGAAATGTACTTATTCTCTTTCTCATGTAACTGTAACCCCTCAGTAGATGAGTGTAGCAAGAAAATGTGCAATTCTATGCTTCCATCAGAAAGAATGGCATTGCCCCATTAGTAAGGAAACATAAAGACATGGAAAAAAGTCATATTAAGTGAAGTAAGCCAGGCCCAAAGAAACATGGTCTCCGTGGTTTCCCTCATTTGTAATAATTAGTCTATGTCTAGGATATTTCTAGCAGAGGATCACAGCAGCCCTAAGGCTATGTACATATGACCACATAAAATAATGCTAATCGAAATGATCTATAAAATATGGAAATGAGGATTTTTAATATATTTTTATTGTAAAGATACTGTACAGAGGGGTTACAGTTACATGAGAGAGAGAATAAGTACATTTCCTATCCAGCACTGTTGCCTCCTCCCTACCTTCCCAACTCCTCCCTCCCCCGCCAAAGTTGTAAAGTTTGTTTTCAACATAGTGTCTTGTACATCTCATTGTTACAATGGGTCAACCTGTATCCTTGTTTCAGCATTTTGTTATTTCTTTTCCTCTCCCCAAATTAGAAAAATGTATACACAAGGTGCAGGACACCAGAATCAAATACAGTGAAAATAGGTTATACTATGGGGGAAGAAGAAACAACAAAATCACATAGTACATTATAAGTACATTAAAAACAACAGCAACAAAGATAAACCCTCTTGTGTCCCTACCTTGGGGTTTGTTTTGCTTAGCATCATCTTATATGGTCATATGTACATAGCTTTTGACCTTCTCTGCTTGTCTGGTAAGATTATCCTAGACATATACGAGTTACAGCAAATAAGGGAAAACATGGGACCTATGTTTTTTTGGGCCTGGCTTACTTCACTTAATATTTTTCCAAGTCTTTCCATTTCCTAACAAATGGGCAGTGTCATTCTTTCTGATGATGGAGGCATAGAATTCCATTGTGGAGTTGGGTGGGGTTTCACATGCTTGTAATCCCAGTTAAACAGTATGTAGAGACTCCAAGGCTTGTAGTATGAGGTCATCCCAGGAAATAAGTGAGTGAAACACCATCTTATTACACAAGCTGAGTGTGATGGCATGTACCTATGATCCGAGTTTCATGGGAGGTATAGATGGGAAGATTGCAGTCCAACATGGGCTCCAGTCAAAAACTTTGAGACATATCTCAAGAATAACCTTGAGCAAAACCAAGTGGAAGCATGGACCAAGTGGAAGAGCACTTACATAGCATGCATAAGAACATGCCTTCAACCAATAGTACCATAAAAAAATACAAGAGAAATAAAAATAGTACCATAAAAAAACACAAGAGAGAAACAAGACAAAACCACAACAGTGAAAAAAAGAAACAAAAAAGCATACAAACAGAAAAGACAGGAGAGGTTTTCTGGGAACTTTCTATTGGAAGAGAAAAGTCATACATAAAATATATGAATACAAGTATGGAAGCATTCAGTTATACTTGGCTCAAAAGTGAGAACATGTAGTAAAAAGCATATTTTAAGCCATTATTTTATGTGCACAGCAACAGCAAAGCAAGGGCATGTGTTTTCACACTTAATGCTCATTTCTCCCAATGGCTGTTACTTGGAATATTTCAATCCAGATTGGATCTGTTCGTTGATTTTCTGTCTTCTCAGTCCATTATACATGACACTCCTTCCAAGTGTCATTCTGTCATCTTTCCCTACACCATCTCTGTGTTTATTATTATGAAGACCAAAACAAAGTTCTCCTGGCTTTTATTTTCTTTGACCTCTTCCTCACATCAAGCTTAAAAAAAAGAAGGATTGAGAACTGACTTAGAAGTTAATAATGCTTTTTATTCAGGATATGCAGGAGAGATGTGGCTGTGAATTTCCATATTCTGATCTTTTTGCTCATTGAGAGTGTTAATATGCTAATAACTGACCATCCAATAAGGATTAGGACATGACATTATCAATACATTACATGTAATATAGAACATAAGGAACAGCAGATATATTTGTGCAGTGACTCAAGTCCCTCTCTGTAATGGAAGTTGGGACTTCCAATGATCTTGCAGAAATTGAGAGGTATGAAGCAAAGACAGAGAAGGCATCCTAGATGGGAGTATAGGGGGATGGAAGAATGATTTCTAGAGTAGTAGGTTGCAGATGATAGCACAGCAAGCGCTACAGTGTCTGCTCTCCTTCAGGCAGGAATGAAACAAAGCTGGTACTTGGGGGGCACAGAAACCAATCTTTTGGCAACTGGAGTGGTATCGAGATCCTTTGGGTCAGTGAGAGATTTCAGATTGAAGTGCTGTAAAATGGTGGTGAAGAATAAAAACAGCTCCGTGTGGGCCAGGTCCTCACCCATACAAATCCATTTTCCTGAATACAAAGCACAAAGAAGATAATTGATTTTAATATATAACTGTCACCATGAAAAACATTCCCTTTGTAAGTAGCACAAGGAGAATATACAGCAATGTTGATGGTACATTGAGTAGATGGATGAATGGAGGGATGAATGGATGATTGGATAGATGGAAGGAGAAAAGGATGGACAGCCTCAGTCTGCACATCTGATCTCAACAAATGGTCTATTTAAAATTCGGCTGATTATCTAATTCATGAAAATGTTTTCAAGTACTCTCATATTTTCATTGTTCTCTTGAAACTTCAAATTTCCACTTATTTTTTTCTTGTGAATTACCACATTACTAGTGGTTCCCATTTCTAGTCTGATGTTTTGTGGACTTTACACGATTCTTGTCATCCTCTAAGCTCAGGTCTAACTGTACACTCCTTTAGTCAATATCCCAGGCACCACAAGCATTTGTATTTGATACCATGATACAGTAACACAAAATTGGCCTAAGGAATATTTCACATTACTGCTGGCCTGAAGTCTTCAGTAAGGTCTATATATTGATGGGTTATAGCAAGCACATAAAAGCAGGAACCGCTCAAGATTACAGCAAATTAAAAGGACAAAATAGCCATACTATATATCTGCTTCTTAACTGATACTGAACTGCAAAGGGAAAAATGCTATAAAATAATCTAGAAAAGAAACACATTTGAATGATAGAAAATGGTGGATGAAAGGCATGCAGCTACTTTCCCACTTATCTGATAATTGGAATAAAAGCAACTGAAAGGTAGCAGCTTTCAAGATTGGGTTACTGTAGCAAAATAGTGAAGTTGAAGAGAGAGTGGAGGGAACCCAGAGATTTTGGATAGTGTCTTACAGGGCGAAAAAGTGCATCCACAAGAGATCACATGACAGTGTGGCAGAGACTAGGGGTACAAGTGAAAAAGGGAGCTTACCAGCAAATATTGCTAGGATAGAATTGACATCCTGAAAAACTACAATCTGAATAGACTATAGATCTACACAGAAATTTTGAAAAAGAACCACAAAAATAATGAACATGGAATCTCAGTGAGTCAAGTAAAATAACTCAATTGAAAGACTTCACCGAGTCTATATTCATTGTAAGATCAGGGCTTAGAGGTAGGTAAAAATTCCACTAAAAATGTCTCAGTTTGCATCAGGGCTTGATCTAATCAGTATACTGATAGTTGAGAGGATTTATGGAAGGTGGAAGCAGGAGGTGGGCTCTGTGTAGAAGGAGGTAATATGAACTAGGTCTTTTTGTGTGTATGCTAGAACTAATGCTTGAATTTGAGGCCTCACACTCCCATTTAGCTTTTTGCTCAAGGATGACACTCCACCACTTGAGCCACAGCTCCACTTCCCAGGAGATAATGTCTTCTTCAGACCTCTCATCTGCTTCACTCAGCTTCTTGTTCACCATTGTGTGAGCAACTTTGTTCAACCACATTCTCAATGCCATATTTTAACTCAATCTGTATAGGTCCAGAAGTGACAAAGCCAATTGACCATTGACTGAAGCTGAGTTAAAAGAAATTGTTTTCTCTTAAATTGAGTATTTCAAGGATGATATTAGAGTAATGACAGCGACTAACACATCTAGAAATCCCTCCTCTAATTAAAAAAAATTCTCAAGATAAAATAAAGCCACCAGACTAAAAACAAAACATTATTGAGAAAATAAAGCTCAGAAAATGTGGAACCAAAAGTGACTCTTGAATCAAAAGTATCAATGGAACAAAAGATTTAATTTTTTTCATGTGCATCTATAGACATATTATTACTCTGAGAAAAGTCATAGAACCAACTTTTGGGAAAAAGATAAACTGAACTTATAACATTTATCTGGGAATGTAAACATCTAAGAGTAGCCAAAATAATATTTAGAAGGCAAAACAAGTTTCAAAGAATTACAATCCCAGATACCAAGCCTGTTATTTGCAAACTAAACTGAAAACAACACAAAGCCCATTCAGGAGCCATAGGTAGAGAGAAAGAGAGAGAAAGAGAGAGAGAGAGAGAGAGAGAGAGAGAGAGAGAGAGAGAGAGAGAGAGAGAGAGAGGGAGGGAGAGAGAGAGAGCGTGTGTATGTGTGTGTGTGTGTTAGTGCAGGAGTAGACCTATGATATGAATTGGGACCATAGGAGACCACTAAAATGCTATATGGAAGAAAGTCAATTACATTGGGAATTAAGTAATTTCTGACTGTAATATCACAGTTCATTGCATGGGGCACACTGCTGGGAAGGAGATCAATGTATCCTGGATCTCATGCAGCACAGCATCTGTGTAGGACATTTGGCTCCTGTCCTGCATGCAGGGGCTTGGATGCTTGCCAGTCACAGGGACAATCTCTTCCTTCACTTTAGCTGGTGATATGCAATAGAGAAATGATGCAGTAGGATAGAAGTGGCCCCTTCCGCTCAGAATTTCAGCACTACATGGAAATTAGGAAAGCAATTAACAATATTACACATTAATAAATTATATGATCAGAAGTATATTTAGGCACACAATATGATAAAAAAAATAGGAGGATAAAATTTCAGTAAATATGAAATACCTTTCAAGATAATGCATGAGGTTTAACACTAAGTTATAATGTATTTGTGTGGGGGTATGTAAGGGAGTAGTTATAAATATTTTTATTTGACATAATATGTCATGACTCTCTCTTCTATCCTGGTGGTCCATGACCTTGTGTTTTTGGTAGATGTTTTTAGTACATTTACACTGCAGGACACCTGGAGAGAATTTTCTATTTAAGATGGATAAGTATGAAGGTCCACACTCCACAGTTCTTCACTGCATCTGGCTCCTGGATTTCAAGAGGCAAGATGGAGAATCTCTAGATTCAAGAATTGGGCCATTGCCATATTTCCCTTTCAGCCCTATGCACCATTTTTCTCTTCTGTCACTGCCCAAGGTCCCTGAGGCCAGCACTGCCCATGAGAATAGCACTTTCAAGTTCAATTTCTGCAAAGAACAACTTTCTCTTTGTTATGTGGTGTAAAATCAGTCACACCAGCAACAGCAATGTGAGTAGAATCCATCAAACTCATTTGATAATGTTTTGGACAAGTGTCATTTCCAAGCTAGTAGGGAGACTGCTTCCTATTCTTTCCTAAAGTTCTATTTTTTGATATTTGTTACAATATAATGACCTCACTGCTTGGTAAATCTTAATCCTTTACTCTCTGTCTTTCATTAATATGCTGAAAAATTGATGTGTTTCCTTTTCTCCTGTCTTCATACTCCAAAGGACTGAATGCCATTTGTAACTAAGTCATCCTCATATCGTGAAATACTGACAAAAAAGAAACACGATTTCACAGCTGGTAGACAATGTCTGAAAATATAAAAAATATTTTTTAAAACCCTGACATTTTTCTTATATTTTGAACAGAAGTTTTCGGGATAAAGATTTCTGAAATAATAAATGAAATTCTTTTAGGAAGATATATTTCCTATAGTGGTTTTGAACTAGTGCTTTAAAAAGTAGAGTTTCACTTTTCCTAACTCAATTTTAGAACGATTTGTAAGATAAAAGAAAGTATCTGCAAAAATTTAAAAGCTATATGAGGTAGGTTGTTTTTTTTTTTTTTTTTACAATAAAAACATTGTAAGAACCCTAGTCTAATTTATGTTCGTAATGTCAGTCAATAAACTCATTTCCTCCTGTGTGCTGGTGGCTTATGCCTATAATCCTAGGGTCCTCAAGAGGATGCAATTTTAGGATGATAGGTTGTAGCCAGCCTGGATAGGAAAGTTTGTGAAACTCATCTTCAAGGCAAAAACAAACAAACATAAAAACTAAACCAGGTGCTGTTGGTTTACTCCTGTAATCCTAGCTACTCAGGAGGCTGAGATCTGAGTGTTGTTGTTTGCAGCCAGCCCAGGCAGGAAAGTCCATGGGACTTTTACCTCCAATAAACTATTCAGAAACAGCCAGAAATGAGGCTGTGACTCAAGTGGTAGAGCGCTAGCCTTGAGCACATACAGGCTTAAGGACAATGCCTAGGACCTGAGGTTAAGGCCCAAAACAGGCAAAAATGAAAAAAGAAAACAAAAGAAAAATGAGCTAAGGGACAGTGTCTAGGCCCTGAATTCAAGCTCCATCAGGATCAGCAGACCTCCCCTTAGCTCTTCACCTGTGCTCCTACCTGTGTTGTGGGGCTGCTTCATCAGCAGACCATACCTCAACATTGTGCTTGTCATCTCTGTCCCAGCCAGCCACAAACAAATCAGAAGCAGTGTTGTCAAGTGTAAACAACACGTGTTGATTATTCTTCTTCTCTTAAGGAATAATTTAGTTCTATTATCTGTCATTTTGCCAGCATTTGAATCCTGGTCAATCCCAAATAACTCACAATGTTATGGTTAGTCAACACAACCTAGATTGTGCATCTGATCAGTGAACCAACATGTTATTACTACCTATCTTCTTATTTTTGCCTGCCTAGATTTTCCATTCATGAAACTCTTTGAAGCTGCATAAACCATGCAACAAATTCATTCTCCCCATAAGATACAAGCCAAAGGTTCTGACTGCCGATCCACTATGTCCTTTCTCTTACTCAAGACACAGTTGCAAGGAAGAATCGAGCCCTTCTTAAATTCCTTCTCTTCCCCATGACAGAAGATTCATCAAGGTATATTACAACAGTAGAGAGGTCTTGAACCAATAAGCCTTCTCTTTCCAGTCACCTTTGGAAGACAATTTCTATTCTTTTGGTCAATAATACAGACAAAGAAAGAGAAATCACAGACAGAAGAAGAAAATAGCTAGGGATAGACTAGAAAACTGAAGGGAGGGAAATAAAACTAAAATGGAGGAAGACCATGAAGATAACAGAACTAAGAGACAGAATTCAGTCATCATAAGGATTTAAGTTCCATTGGAATGAATGGTATACATTAGTACAATAGTGAAGACAAAACCAAAGACAAAGCACATTTGAAAAGATATCGTTTTGTTCTACATTAATTCAGCAATTCATAAGCTAATTCATGAGCTAAAAGTAAGGAAAATGAAGTACTGTTAAAATGTTTCAGCGTCATATTTATTGGGAATCTTTGTGTGGATTTTGAAAATATATATAGAATGTTTACATACTTTTGATTCAACTCCTTTGCCTAAGGTAAAATTATTTCCAGTTAGGGCAGAGTAACTGAGCCTTGGAGATACAGTCCCATAGTGAAGGACAAATAGGCTACAGTTGGTACACCTGAGGCTGGAACCCATAATCCCCTGCATCATGCAACGTTTCCTCTACAAAGACACTGAGTTCTGCATGGCTTATTAACATTTACTGACAGTGTGCTCTGGTTCAACACTTTGTAACATCCAAAATAAACATGCAGGTGGTTAATTATTACAGCACCATATGGTTTAAATGTAGAGCAGAAAAGTCTGTTTTTATAACTTTTCAAACTTGAGTCATCACTTCCCTGATTTTCCTGCATTTCTCTGTTCCTTCCCCCAGACTCATTTCATATTTCTCACTGCCTGTATTACACATGTACATTGAGAATCCCTGCTGTATTTCTCTCCCTTTCCCCCCCCCCCCCTTTTATTTTGGTCCGATTGTGGGGCCTGAACTCTGGGCCTGGGCACTGTCCCTCAACTCTTCAGCTCAAGGCTAGCGCTTTACCACTTGAGCCACAGCACCATTTCCGGCTTTTTTCTTTTTGCTTATGTGGTGCTGAGGAATGGAACCCAAGGCCTTGAGCATGCAAGGCAAGTGCTCTACCACTGAGCCACCTTCCCAGCCCTCCCTTTCCCTTTTTTTATTCAACCCCTCTCCTTCCATTATCTACTTCCCTTACAGCCTCCTTTTAACTTCCTGATAATCATTTTGTTTGACTGACTGTTCATTGTTTGAATGATTTGCTTCATGGAGTTTTACTCCTGTATATGCTATACTTTAGGCAAATATATAAGCATATACCAATACACAAGATTTGGTTTAGTAAAGTAAAGCCACCTTATTATTGATGATACACTTTCAGTAGCTTTCTCTACTGAATTGACTCCTTTTGATTCTGAAGAGATAGGTATCCCTTGGTAAAATTTCAGCATTAAGCTCTTGAGAATCATAGTGTAATGTGATGTAATCAACTTGAGTACAGCTGGGGACTCGAATTATTTTCTGAAATATTAATAGAATTTTATCCTACAAGAGTTTCTGGTTTACAGCCAAACTAAATATGAAATATACAGTTCCGATATGGACTGTGCCCATAACCACACAATCAACAACCCTCCCAATGTGTTCCACATGATACCAGTGTTATACCAACCCAAAGTTCAAATTAGTTAACAAACACCCAAGAAAGCAAATACCAGTGCCCTTGATGTACACAGATGGTAAACAATTCCCAACAAAGTATTTTGAAAGATTCAACCGCACATGAAACAGATCATACACCACAATCAAGCTGCTTTCATCTCAGATATTCAAAATTTGAATTAACACATAGTTAAAGTTACATATTCTGTCTCATCTATGTTACATCTGATTTATTTCCTTCTGTTTTTGGTTCCTCAGTATTGAGACAACCTCTTTCCTGGGAATGACTGTGAGAAAGCAGCAGAGTGTCTGCAAAGCTGGGCTCTCACAGTGCTCTCTAGGGCTCGATACACATAGGTGTCACTACCAACCCTGTATTCCCCTACTCCACTTTTCTCTGCATACTGGTAGGTTTATGAGATATAAACAATGGGAACTGAGAGATCAGGAAGAAGTGAGACCAGAAGTTAAGACAAATGCCAGGAAATTTGACCCCAGGAGATTAAGACCAACATGTTGAAATATGGCCTGTGCAGCTCAGAGTCAAACCAGGAGCCAAGGGAATGTGAAGAAACAGATGGCCCAGAGGTGGTTCAATGTCCCGACCCGCAGGACGTCAAAGAGGGCAGTGAACCTAAGCGAGAAGGAATGAAGGGTCAAGAGACACGAAGAATGACAGCAAGACAAGGGTTCTGATCAAGCTGCAAATTTTTATTTTTCACACAGGGGTATTTATATGCTTGGAATAAGGAAGCTTTTTCATCAGCCATTAAGGAAGCTTTTTCATTAGCCATAGCAGTGCAGGATGTTTACTTAGGGCAGGAGGAAAGGGTGGTCGTTAGCAGTTGCAGGATGTTTACTTAGGGCAGGATGAGGGTCGGATTCTGTAAACTCAGCCTCAAGATGTTCCAGTGAGATAGTCAAGCCTATTATGTTGAGAGACTCAACTTTTGGCTCCCGACATCTCCCCCTTTCTTATTTAGAAAATTGACCACCAATTGTTGGCTGCTCTTTTTAAGGGGATGACAGAGGCTCTGTTCCTCTAAGGGCCCAGGGTTTTTCTCCACTCCTGAGCAAGCGTCCTCACTCAGGGAGGGGAATTTTACAGGCCTTGGCATGTTTTTTGAGGAGACGGCTTGTGGGTATGCATGCCAACCGTCATGCACCAGAGCTTGCCACTCAGGGGTCGTGGGTTTTGGGATCTCGCGGATCCACCCCCCTGCAGTCTTACCTGCACCCTTGATTAGAGCATTTTTTCTTCCTCCCATAGGTGCATCCTCCCCCAAGCGGAGGGGCCTATAGGAGGAGGGGCGAACCTATCCCTTATGGTAATAGGTCTTGCCCGTTGAATGGTCAGGAGTTATGAATAAGGAGAAGGGTTTTCTAAATAAGAAAAAAGAAAATGGGGGGGGGGGTTCCCACTGGAACAAGCTCATGGCAAAACACTAATTAAAAGCCTGGGGTAAATCATAGATCTCAATGCCTTGGTGTGCCATATCAAGGCGATGGTGATGAACCTGTATGGGCTTAGAAGCCAAGAGATCAATCTGTTGTTTAATAAATTCAAACAGGAAGGTCCACATCTGGAGTTCTAGCTGCATCTGTAAGAGAAAAGGAACCATCCTCAGGGGGAAGGTTTCCCCTGGGTTGTGGTAAGCCATTAACTTGTTTTATCAAGCGTTTTGGCAGCCACCTTGGGGCTGCTTGTTCTTGATCTAAAATACAGGCTGAACCTCGCCCCCAGATAAGAACAGGATCTGGGCCCTTCCATTTGCCTGTAAGGGGGTCTTGCCACATGACAGACGGGCGAGCAGAACTGGAAGATGGGTGCCAATGCCTGTCAGCTGCCGAGTGGCCTTCATTGTCCAGAGTTAGAAAATTAAGGACGAACAATGTGTGACTAAGGCGATCCCTAGGAGTGGAAAATGAAAAGGCAGAGGCTTTGAGGCGAGTAAGCCAGGTTTTTAGGGTGTGGTGGGCTTGTTCTATGATGCCCTGACCTTGGGGGTTATAGGGAATCCCAGTACTATGACAAATCTGAAAAATAGCACAAAACTGTTTCAACTTGGCACTGGTATAAAATTTCATTAATCAAATTCCAATAGGAAAAGACAGTAGCAGGAACCTTTTCTGGACCAAAGGTTTCATAATAATCTTTTAAACAATCTCCTACTCTTTGCCATCTTTTTGCATCTATGATTCCTTCAAAGGGGAACCAAGGACACAAGTCTTCTATGAATGAAAAAAATAATTGTAAATCCCTTTTCTTAACCCGCGTTCCCCGTGTCTTGAAGGCCTCCTTGAGGTCTGACAGAAATAGATCCTGTGACGACATTGCTTGTCCCATGGTGGGTCACTCACCTTGCATCGTCCTCACTCTCCTCCTGGATCTGTCTCTCGGTGGGGTCTGTCAAGGCGATCTCGGACTGTACTTGGCCAAGTTTTCCCGGAGGACGACGTTCCTTCCTTAGTCAGAGGCTTGTGCCCCATGTTGGGCGCCAGTTGTCCTGACCCGCAGGACGTCAACGAGGGCAGTGAACCTAAGCTAAAAGGAATGAAGGGTCAAGAGACACGAAGAATGACAGCAAGACAAGGGTTCTGATCAAGCTGCAAATTTTTATTTTTCACACAGGGGTATTTATATGCTTGGAATAAGGAAGCTTTTTCATTGGCCATTAAGGAAGCTTTTTCATTGGCCATAGCAGTGCAGGATGTTTACTTAGGGCAGGAGGAAAGGGTGGTCGTTAGCAGTTGCAGGATGTTTACTTAGGGCAGGATGAGGGTCGGATTCTGTAAACTCAGCCTCAAGATGTTCCAGTGAGATAGTCAAGCCTATTATGTTGAGAGACTCAACTTTTGGCTCCCGACAGTTCAGCCCTAGGGAAATGATATACAATGACAGGACATAGTTTCCACAACACTACTCTCCCACTTTGCTCTTTGTCATCTTGTGTGCTTCTGTTGGTCATGAGGGATTGATGACTTGTTCTACCTCCATGCTGAGCTGTGAGTCTGTATGCTAGGAAGAAGAAAGCTATATCTTATCTGTGTTATGGGGGCGTCTGATATCCCAATATGAGGGACCTGGATTTTGAGTAGTATAATAGAGAGGGCCCCAGCTCTAATCAAGTAGTTTTGGTACTGAGCCCAGCACAAGGATATGACTACCCTCAGGGACTAGGTTTTGGGAGCATGTAGTCAAAGGATGAGGGGTGAGTGACTTCCAAGGGAGAAGACAGATTGTACACCATCACAGCAGCAACCAGACCATCTCTTCCTCTTCATACAGGAGTGAAACAGATCTGGTATGAAGGTGGCACAGAATCAAATCCATTGGCAACTGGGGTGGTATCAAGGGCCTTTGGTTAACCATTGATGTCAGTTGAAAGTTCTGTAAAATAGTGGTTAGGAATAAAAACAGCTCCATATGAGCCAGGCCTTCTCCCTCACAAATCCATTTTCCTAGAAATAAAAAAGAGAAATATTCACTCCTTGCCTATACTATAACCATAACTATTGATACTTGTCACCTGAGGTACCTGATGAGAAAGGCATGAAGTAGTCGCTTTTCTTAAAGTTGCCATTGTCATCTAGAAAGTGGCCAGGGTCGAACATCTCTGGGTTGGGGAATTCCTTGTGGTCATACAGCACAATGTCAGTCATATTACTATGGCTGTGCCCTGGAAACAACAAATAAGCCTTGTTATATATAGTCATAGAGCTGAAAGATGCATGTAAACCAACTAATTCAATGCTTTGAGAGTTAAAGAAAAAAACATCCAAACAGAAGCAGCAACATATTCTATCAGACAGATCATGTAACAAACAGGAATGAGTCTGAGACTAGTGGCAGTCATTTTACTGAAATGCCCTCCCTTCACAGTTGAAATACTAAGTATCTGTTGCCCTAACTTCTGAATGTCTTCTCCTTATCATTAAGCTCTGGCCCTGGTGTCTGCTGGCAGCTGCTGGTTTAATTCATCACTTCAGTTTCATATCTTTTTCATGTGCAATATGGAGTCAAGTGGAAGACTTTATTTGCACCTAAATGGTTGGCGTATGTGACCATAGAACTTTCACAGATGAGCATTTGCTAATTGTTAACATCTTCTGGAATGATAGCAAGACCTAAAACCAATATAACACTACTGAGTATTTTTCATTGCCTTCTAGCCTATTTCCCTTAATATACAATGTGGGTGTTGATATTTATTAGAAATAAGATGACTTGAACAAAACTAAAGGGATGATAGAATTAGAAATGTCATAATTTTGAAATAATTCAGGGGAGGATTATAAGTTCAGGTAAGGAAAAAGTTAAATGAGTGAGTGATTTAGTAAGCAGAATTGAAGCACTTTATCACATACTTTTATTTATTTTGTACAGAGCATTTTTATTAATTATGTATCATGGTCTTATTAATTACATTGTTAATTATGTATTATTTTATTAATTACTTTAATTATGTATTATGTATTTATTATATATAAGTACATAGATTGCATTCTGCAATAGAGATATCAGACAGATACCACCTCAACACATGAAGAATTGGCATAACTAATAATAGCCTAGATAACATTACATATGTCTGCCTCTCAAAATTATTGAGACAGGCAGAAGCAGCTATGTAGGGTTTGGTTTGGATTTTTTTCCAAATGCATAACTGTAAAATAATTTCTAAAAAACAGTCACACATAGCCAGCCTCAGGAGCATTTCAAATGACTGGCTGGGACTCTTCAGTAAGGTCAACACACAGAAAACAAACAACAAACCAGGGGAAATTAATGCTTTCTGATTACTGGAAGCCGAAATGACACACTATATAGACCCCATTGTAGACCTGCCCTTTAATTGCAACCTGGATTTCAAAAGAATTAAAAGGCTATATGACTACTGAAGAAATACTAAGGTTTAAATATATGACTTATATTAGATAATATCCTTGTGTTAATGAGAACTTCTGAGTATAAATGCTGTTATTATTGGTAGAGAAACCCTTCTTAGCCCATAGATACTGAATCATTGAAGTGTAGATAGATAGATAGATAGATAGATAGATAGATAGATAGATAGATAAGATAGACAGACAGGCAGACATAGTATAAAGTGGTTTTTGACACTATAGGTATGTTTTGTTGGTAATTTTTGTTTTTGTTTTGCTTCCTTTACAGTATTAGGGTTAAACTCAGGGCCTTACATCTGAGTCACACTCAAAACCTTTTTTTTTCTTCTATTATTTCTCCAGATAAGGTCTTGTAATTCTTCCCAGGGCCAGCTTTGCATAGCAGTCCTACTACTTATTTCTAGTATAGCTGAGATCGCAGGTTTGCCCCACCACACTCAGTATTTTTTTTTGTTGAGATGAGTTCTTCCTAACTTTGTTTCTTTTATTGGCCTTGAACCATGATCCTTCTGCTCTCTGCCTCCAAATAGTTCAGGTTAGAGATGTAAGCCCCTGAGCCTGGCTAGATTTAATTTCTTTTTAATACAGAGAAAGGAAAAATTGTATGTCATACATGTATAATATATAATGTCTATAATTTCATTTAAAATCATCTGTTGCATGTTTTTAACATATATAGAACTGTTTCTTTAGATATAAAAATGATTCAAACAATTTCAAATTCATAAAGAACAGGAAAAATAGGAAGCTTGAGTAATACCTTATATTAGAAGTAACATTTAGCCTGAAAATAGTCACTAACACAAATTTAAAAGTGAAACTTCTAGGAAACTTCTAGGAAAACACAAAGAAAAACTTTGGAAGATGGTGCTGGCAAACTTTCTTCTAATGGGACCAAAGTGCACAAGTTGGAACTGATATTACTGCCCAAAGCTCAACTGGGTGGAAATTAAACATTTTTAAATTGCTTAAACATTGTTAAATATTGTTAAAGCACTGTTACTGATAAACCTCTTTAAATGTGCTGAGAATTTGGGGCCTGGAAATATTTAGCTTCCTAACTGATAACTGATAAACCTTCCTCTGGATCCCTGGCTGTCTTTCAAACAAAACAAAATCTATTGAATGGCAAGTGGTAGAGGAATGGTCAGAACCCATAAACACCAAGTCTCATTAGTTGCACTGTGGTTAAATCATTTGGTTAAAACAAGTTAAATATTCTCTGAGTTTGTACTGTTTTTCAGTATTCATGCTAATCATTGACACTCAAAACAAGTTAAGAGTTTCATAATTGCAGTATCCATTGATTAAAATGGGGGTTAGGAACATTCAGTTTTTTTCATCTTGAGAACTTGCAAACAGTTTATGATGAATGAACTCTTTATCCAGGACAAAACTAAGCAGTAATGGTTTTTTTAGTTCATTCATGAAATAGTGTTTGCAACTCACAAAGCTCTGAATTCTAAACTATTGGAATCTCACTCAACACTGAGAGACCAAGGTCTTTTATTTTGCATAAACTAAACTTGATGGCTCTTTTGTAGATTATTTACTTTATTCCCTAAGAGTATTCCCACTCTCTTCTTGATGCAAAAAAAGGGTTTTACAATAGATAAATGATATACAACATACTGAATGTTCCAATAATTATACCTAGTTACCTGATTTAAATACAGCATGATGTGTGCAATTATTAAAAACGTAACATGGAACTTGGGCCCAGTGGCTCTTACCTGTAATATTAACTACTCAGAAGGCTGAGATCTGGAGGATTACAGTTTGAAGCCAGACCTGGCAGAAATTTACATGACACTCCATCAACAAGACTACTAGCAAGGGGCTGGGAAGATGGCTCAGTGGTAGAGTGCTTGCCTTGCATGCCTGAGGCCCTGGTTTCGATTCCTCAGCACCACATAAGCAAAATGAAAAAAGCCAGAAGTGGCACTGTGGCTCAAGTGGTAGAGTGCTAGCCTTGAACTGAAGAGCTGAGGGACAGCGCCCAGGCCCAGAGTTCAGGCCCCACGACCAGACCCCCCCAAAAAAACCAAAAAAAACAAAAAAAAAAACTACTAGCAAATCAGGCTGCAGGCATGTTCCAAGTGGTAGAACACCAACCAAGAAAGTATGCCTAACAAGTGTGAGATTCTGAGTTCAAACTCCAATTCCAAAAAATAAAAGCATGGGGCTCCATAAATATAATTTTTATATTTTTATGAATTAATTCAAATATAAAATATCATATCCAATTTTTCCCATAACTTGATGGTTTGACTGGCATCTTTTCAACAGGAAAACAGCAAATTGTACAGAATACCTTTTTAGGGCCTGAAGAGCAGGTCCTGGAGCTCAATGCAGGGCCTGGATACTGTCCCTGAGCTTTATAATTCAAGAACATGCTTTATCAGTCAAACCACAACACCACTTCTGGCATTTTGATGATTAATTGGAGATAAGAAAAGTCTCATGGACTTTCCTGTGTGGGCTGGCTTAGAACCATGATCCTCCAATGTCAGCCTCCTGAGTAGCTAGGATTAGAAGCATGAGCTACCAGTACCTGTTCAATATACATTTGTAGTGAGCCCAAAATTATGAAAAACCATGCATACTGTGTGTATATCCTATATAAACACATATTGTATATATAATCATGTATAACTATTCACTGACATATTTACAGATTGTATATG